GTTTTGAAATAAAGGCATGCTAACATTTTTAAAAGTCCTTTTTCATGATGTTAAATTAAAACTTTTGAATCACTAATGGTTAGAAAGAGAATGTTGACTTGGCTTGCCAGCCTTTGACCATCTGGAACCAAATATAGATTCAAGTCTGTACTTACAGGTTAAAGGGTTAATTGAATTCAGCTTTTAACCTGGTTTCCATTAGTTTATGGTAAAACAAAGGTCTGGCGCCATGGATTATATCAGTGCCAATTATACAGTAAATGAAATGCTGCATCTTCATTGCACTCTGACCATATATCTTCTATTTGTAAAACAGAAATAATTTTACTACTTAGCCAAAAATGACATTGCTTATATAAACACTGAACTGGTTACTTACACAGTGAAACTCTGATAACTCGTCACCCCAAGGGAAATAGCTCAACTTACTACTTATCAGAGTTGAATAGTTATCTAATGTGCAGTATCTCAAAAGTACAAAGTACTCAAGTAGCCAGGATATTGAGTGAGTTATTAGTTATGTGTGGGGATTACAACTTATCATAGGGGCTAGTCATCAGAGTCTTATTGAAATATGAGAGTTTGTAAATGAAGATTGGAAATAAGCACTTTTCCTTAGTTGGGACATAAATGCTTCAATATTTCCTTTTACTCTTCTTGGCTTTGTTGGCAGAGTAGCTCTAACATGAAATGTTAATATACACCAAGTTAATAGAGTTAGCCTTTTCCTCCAAGAATAACGCGAATAAGGGTCAAAGCATCATACAAAGGTGTAGATAGAATCTGAGATTAGTTTTGGATAATTAGTTAAGACATTAGACGTTTACTGTCTTGTTATACATTCATACATTGTCAATCCACTGTACAAACCATTGTACAAAAATCCACTTTATGCATCAATTTGTTTTATAAGTTAAGTTCCAAATAATTCTTTTTTAAAATACAGTAAATTCCTGAAATCTCAAGATGATTTATTAAAAGTGGTAAATTAGGCACATGAATATAAATATATAAGTAAATGTGTGCACAATATTGATCGCCTGATGACTTAAATGGTAGTAACAAGTCAAGCCATGGTGGAGTTACCAGGAGTTTACTGTACAGTATAATTTATATAGCAACTTTCACGTCAGCACATCTCAAAGAGCTTTACACTGTTGGCTTGGCTGGAGGTAGGAGCTGAAGAGGGTGGGAAGGGGAAAGACAACTAAAAGGTATGTCTTGAAATTTTAACATGTCCAATTATTCTTCTAATTTTCTCCCTTATTGCCATACTGGCCTAGTGTACCTGTTCCTCGCGTGACTTTTTTTAAAGAAAAAAAGAGGGTGCTGAAGAGGGATCAAGAATAAAAAACTGGGAAAGCCAGAGCCAATTTAGGCTGCCCATGTAGCCCTAATTGATACCAGCAAGCTCCGAGGCAATAACAACTTGCCATGTCCAAACAGCACCTTTCACATAGTATAACACCTTGGAGTGATTTATAAAGTGGGAGTCAGGCACTGAACAAGGGACAGGGGGAAAGGCACCATAGGAGTGATCAGAGATATTTTATGGTGGAATTTAAAGACAGATAGAGAAAGTGAGACAGAAAGGAAGAGAGAGTAGTTCCAGAGTTAGGGCATAACAGCTGAAAGCTTGGCTATCAATAGCGGCACAGAGATGATGATAGATGCACAGCAGGCCCACGTTAGCTAAGCAATTTCGAAGGGATTTATAGGTGAAGATGAGGACCTTGAAATGGATCTTTTGGGAGAAAGGGGCTCTCTTGAGGACAGGGATGATTGGGAATGTGGAGTTTGGTGTGGGTGGTGGTTTGGGATTAGCTGGATCTTATGGATGGTGCAGGTGGGGAGATAAGCAAAGACCGTGTTTGAAAAATCTAGACAACCGATATCCTGGCATGAATAATGGTTTCTGCAGCAGTTGATGAGATTGAGTCTTTGGCGGAGACTGAATGTGAGCTAGAAAGGAGAGCTGAGGAACAAAATGTACTCCAAGTTTGAGCACTGGTTTGGTGAGGTCGAGAAAGAGGCCAGGTAGGCTGAGAAGATCAAAGCCTTTGAATTCCATACACCATTGAGGCTGCTTGGAATTCAAAGCTTTTTTAAAACTTATGTAAATTAACATAGGCTTTTTCTAAATTCAATGACTTTAGTTAAAAAGAAACAAACTGAATAAGTTCCAGATTCATTTCCCAGTCTGTAGTAAGCTGATCTGAGCAAGGCAACAAATGTCATGCTAACAATTTGTCTCAATCCTTAGGTCAGGGAGAAGAAAATTAGCCAGGGGTCCACCTTTCCATTCAGGAACGTCTAATGGACCAATGAATGTATGATCAGGATTATGTTTAGATTTGTGTTCCCTATGGTCAAATTGCCAGCTGACATTCTTGCATAAAGTAAAAGTAGAACAAAGACCGTCTGCCGAGTAGAGACTCATGTGTTTCTCCATTCCCAGTAACTGATTCTGCCTCCGTCTATACATCTATCGACTGCAGAAACAATGCTATCTCAGAGACTGAATTTCAATACAGAGCTGCCTTAAAAGTGAGGTCTCTGGTGTGTTTCTCCAACTGCGCACACCTGAAAATGAATCTTCTGCATCCCCACTGAGGTCAGAGGTGAGATTTCAGGAGGGAAAAAAAAGACCCTCTAAGCTTCGGTAGCAACAATATAGGGATGTAAAACTCATCAATTTCCACCAACTTCAAAAACCCACTCTGAAGAGAACACCCCCCACCAAAAAAAACCCCCAATACTGAGTGCAATTCAGAAGAGAGAAACCCGATACTATAGACTTGTTTCATCTCTGTCGGCACGCTCATCAATTTTGTCTCATACAACAGCTGTCATAGCAGCTCTGCTTTGGGAAATAAAGCAAGGCTAGACATAGTTGCCAAGTTAACTAATTTTGCTTCAATTTTGTATTTCTCTTCAATTTGAGACATTCAATCTAGGTTAATTTAACCGCACAATAGAAAGCTACATCGAGACCAGAAGTGGAACCACCATATCAAAGTATCATCAATTTATGCTTCCATTCAATGTCTCACCACCTTGAATTGTTATCCAAAAAATTCAGAAGTTTTAAAAAGTCTGCAACAAACATAAGTTTCTAACTGTAGACACCTGATAACTCGGCCCTTAATTTAACTTGCCCTTCAATTGTCACTAACACGCAAATCATCATGCAATCAAAAAACTTGCCACTGAGCCATTTAAACTTGGATGAGTTATCAGTTTAGTGTATATAACATCATGCTAAAACCTTTAGTCTGCTTTATTTTATAGTGAAATTGAATATTTAAAATAATGTATTACTGTTCTATTCTCAGATATTAATCAAGAAATTGTTTAAACCAGGGAATATGTTACAAAAAGACAGCGTGATTAAATCTTTTGTTTTGCAACATATACTTAAAAAAATCTGCTTGCACTACATTTAGAAAAGGAAAGTCAGGGCATAGGTTAATGGGTATAGTACTCCACTGACACTGAGCAGCGGCACAAAGGAAATTTTGAATTATGAGCATCTCACATTTCACAATGTTCCCAAAACACATGAAGTCACTAAATAGATTACCTTTAGATTCTGTCAGATTCAATTAGATTCTAACAGCAAACACCAGTCATATAATTCTGCTCACTTAACAAGGTCAATCTATATTTAAAATTGTACTCGCTGTAAATCCAGATGTGTGTAGCAATAGTATTTATTGCATAATCTTACACCTATTGAAGTGACAGTACTGGAATTACAAAGTTATACATTATACAAGTTAAGAATTCCTAAAATATCAACAATGAAAAGTTGGCAAGTTTTCAAAGGAAGCCCAAAACATAAATATTAAGCAAACCACAACGTGTGCCTTAAAATATTAGGCCCATGTTTAAATGTTTCTAAATTTGTATCAAGTTTATTCTTTTAAAAATAGTAATTATACAGAATCCAATATTACCATATTCAAGGTGCCAGTTATGGTCAAGGTTTAAAGTAGGTCTCAAATGCTCATTGACATGAGGTCATAGACAAATCGAGGCATTATGCTTCGCACACCTGTTAATGTTGTGCCTCTTTCCACTAACATTTTCAAGCTGTGTGCAATACAGCTCCTCCAAATTTTGAAAGTAGTCTACTCTCATGTCCCTACACCAATTTATCTGTCAAAAAAGCATACACAAGGGTGCAAGAGGGAGAGAGTGCAAAAGGGCACAAGTGTAAATGAAAACACGAGATCCAAAACGTGAGTATGAGAGGGAAGACAGGAGTGTGTGAAACCATGAACAAAAGGAGAGCAATATGGTTAACCTCTAGCATTTATGGGATAAAAGTTTGAGGAATTACAGCGAGGGCTTTCAGACTCAAAACAATGTCTTAAAGGGGCTATTTACAAGTTGTTTAATAGGTTGGAGAAATGACACTCTGATATATGCAGGAGGGCAAGCGGGCAGGTTCAGAGTTGTGAAGTTTAATTAATTATAGCAGGGCACTAGGAAGCATCTACACAGAGGTGGATCAACAGTTGGAATGAGTTACCCTGAAGGTTTGTTCAGTCCAGAAGACTGGACTAGTTTGAGAAATGGCTTATAAGCTGTAGTGGGAAGACAGTAGTTTGGGTATTTTAGAAGGAAATCACATGGTCAGAAGGGCCTTCCCTCCTCTGGACCTCTTGTGATCCACTGATTATTTTAAATGTAGATCTCATGCATACAACTATTAAACTGCACAGAGCTGCAGTATTAATTCTTCAAGACTCAAAATGCAAGTTTTAAGCTTAATATGAACCTCAAGATGAGGTTGTCAAATGTACTCAATTGAGTTTCCCACTCTGCAAAGCATTGTACATTGATCTTTACAATATAGGAGAATACACCTTTGATCACTTAGCAAAAGATGTTTACTAATCACTGACAATTGTAACTTTTTAAAAGTTTTTAACCTTTTGGACAAAAGACCCGATATAAATCACAGCAGATATATTAGAGATCTTAAGACATACCTTTGCAAAAAACACTGTTAGATGGGTTTCGCTGCCAAGTATCCAAATTGGAAATTTAGGAGATTTCAGGAATCCTCCAACCTGAAAGTAAATTTCAAATATGTAAAAGTGCATTCTGGCCAATATAAGATCCCCCGATAGAATTTATTGAATCATAGAAAGTTCAGACTACAGTTTACCAATTAATACTCTGACATAGGTTTGCAATATCTAAGAATATTTATTTTAGATAAATAAAATAAGGTCTATAATAAAGTTGTAACTCCATTATGATTGATATTATACTATAATACGACATTTTTCAAAAAACACTTGCACTGAAACTCTGCTCCACGATAGAATACAATACTATTAACCTCACCTTTACTTTTAATCCAATATTTTTAATCAACTATTTTAAAATATTATGGACAACACTCATGGGATAAGTTCTCTGTTTCACTTATGACTGATATGATTAAGTCAGAAAACAGCATTTCCCCCCCACTTTTTGAAAGCAACATTCTTCACTCTACTGACCCTTACAGAACCGCTTCACCACACACCAGCCAGGCAACTTTCTCCCAGGCTTGTAACTAACCTCACATTAAAACCAGTCTGGTATGATACTCCCACATAGTGAGAAACATTTTCACCCTCACAGCAACACAGTTGAGACTGTGGATGTTCATCAAATGTTTTCATTTTCTAATCATGTACACTGAAATTCCAGTCCATCAATCCATGGCACAATGTGTTACTTTCTTGATATGCTGAACACGCTTTACCTTAATTTTTTGTTGGTCATCTCGGTGTCTGACATATGCAGAAATCCATCACCAAGCCTAAATGTATCCAAACTACAAGGAGGATTGTCACTAGTTGGTCATTTGACATCTAACAAGTTCTGGTTTGAGCCCTCACTAGGGGGATGGCAGGTAACATAAACTCCCTGTGAGCTTCCTTGTGGGCAACACAGCTCAGCATGAAATAATGAGAACATTGCCATCATCTTCCGGCCTATACTTGGAGATACATCCCTCCCCCATTCAGTGATGGTTCTACCAGTTGGAGATATTTCATATGGATTACTTTGCAAAGTTGAAAGTAGTTGAAAAATTTGAAGACATTCTGTATATAGGAATATGACCTACACTTCTAACTCAGATCTAGGATCAGCCAACATTACGAAAGCTATTTTGAAAATTCATACCAGTAAAACGTTACTGGGCAACCTAGATTACTATAATTGGTAAAAAAAAATCAGTTATTCAGCATGTTAAGAATGTTTGGCACTTGCTCAGTTGATACAGAACATTTTACATACCAATCATATCTTAGAAGGCAAATCTAAGCGTCAACATATGAACCTAAATACATGTTCTTTCCACAAATTAACTTTTTCATTTAATATTTTACAAACCTAAAATAGATTTTTTTTAAAAAAAGCAGCATATATAGCACAGCACCAGTAAACTGATTGTTCAATAGGATTTTCATTTTACTAATAACATACACACTGCATCTGGGCACCATGGTATTTTTATTAAATTACACCAGGGCTCCACTGTTCACTCCACATAAAGAAAACAAATCAGAAGTTAGTTACTTTCATGTACAATTAAGTCCACATTACTGTGGTCTTAAGATACCACACATTTTATTTTGCAAGGGGCTGGAATGATTTTTGGTCACATTGAGGTGGAGGCTGAGCTATTAATGGCTTGCTTTTCCAGATCTGGTACCCGGGATAACTAGTGCATGCCATCAGGTATTATGCTGGAGAGCTACAATGCAAATATTAACACAATCTCAGAGTGCTATTGTTATTGCCAGGCAACTGTCCCTCATCGCCTTTTTTCAAATTTTCTTTTTTACAGCCTTGCCTCCAACTACGATTGCAAAGTGTTAAGATGAGTCCACTGACCCAAGAGTTACTTTTAAACCACACCATTGCACATTTATTTACTACGAATGTGTAGATATTTTGTTAATCAACTTCAATAATTATCTATCTCCCCTACATCAGCTTCCTTGCACCTCTCAACTATGAAGATTATGATTTTTCTGATTTGAAACTGGCTTGCAAATAACAATAGGTTAGAACTATTCAGCACCTTGGGGGTCATCCTTCAGAAGTGAAAGGTGCTATATAAATGCAATTTGTTGTTATGATTACAGACCAGGAAGAGAGGAAAAACAGAAAAAAAGGACACATTAAATTTATAACAATAAAGTCTCTATTTGAAGATTTTGTATTCCTCCCATGAAGAAACACAGAAAATTAGATCCCAATGTGGTAAACTAGTTAGAGTACTTGGCTGCCTTGTTGGGCATATTTCCGTGCTGCAAAACAAAATATTTTTTTGAAAGTTCAGCCAAAAGATAAAAAGATTTTATCTTATTGAGAATAAATTTCTTGATGCAAAACAGCTTCCAGGAAGATCACCTGTTGTCTCCAAACAGCTAAAAAATATGAATTGCAAATGTTTACAAAATGATTGCCAGACTGCAAATAATTATATTTCAGGTGCTTACCTTACAATATCGCAGAGACTCCATTAACGTGAGAAAACCTACAGTAGCTTGATTTCTTATACCGTGGAGTTCTGAAACAAAGCAATTATAGGACTCAGCACTGGCATTACACAAGTTTTCAAAGTCAAAGAAAAAGAGTATGGACACGATAGGTTATAAAATCCTGACATTAATATTTTTTACAAGCTAATATCTAATTAGAAAGATTACTCCTAAAATTATGCTATTATCATAAGTCACGTTACTTAAACAAGATGTGTGTGTTACAAAACGCAATATACTGTAGATGCTAGGAATCTGAAACAAAAACAGAAGTCGCTGGGAACACTCAGCAGGTCAGACAGCATCTATGGAGAAAGGAAAGTGAGTCAACGTTTTGGATCCACGACCCATTGTCAGAGCGGTTCTGACAAAGGGTCGTGGATCCAAAACGTTGACTCACTTTCCTTTCTCCATAGATGCTGTCTGACCTGCTCAGTGTTCCCAGCGACTTCTGTGTGTGTTACAAATGGGTTTAAACAATTTTCTAAATCTAACTAAGGGCTTAGCTCACAAAAAATAATACTCCTTAAATTTACTACAGTGCCTTACCCAACATCTCAAAGTGCTTTGCATGACATACTTAAAGCGTCGTGACTATTTTGTGAGCGAATGTGGCAGTCAATTTGTGCACAGCAATATCCCACAAACAGCTATGAATCCTTGGCCTGGATACCAGTAGAAACTCCCTTCCCTTTTTAAATAGTGTCGTGGATCTTTAATATCCATTTGAACAGGCAGATGAGACTTTGGCTTATATCTCGAACAAAAGACAGCACCACCAATAATGCAGTACACAGCCAGCACTGCATTGGAGTGTCAGTATAGACTACATAAGTCTAAGTATCGATACCTCACATAAGCAAAGATTCCTGCGATCTGTACAGCAGCTCAAACATTTATAATTGCAGGTATAACAGCTTCAATTTTATGAACATTAATACGAAATGAATGATGATTACTAATCATGAAAGTTGTTTTTAATGTTAAGGAAGCCCCATGAAATTTTTTTGGCAATGCAATTCTGGAATTAGCCTCAAGCAAGAGTGAACTCCATAAATTCTCCTCCAACCACCCACCCACACGAATAAGATTCATCAGGTGGATTTTTACAACCCACTACATGAAATGAGCTGAAACTGCATAGAGCACAAAAATTCCATACTACAATGCAATAGGGCACCAAATCGCTTAGTATCAACACCATGCAGAGAAATAAGCAAGGTTAAATGCTTATTCTTAAGAAGTAATTTTATGAAGACACTTATATAGTAGAACTTGGTCAACCACATTTGATAAGGCAACAAGCAGACTAAGGCAGAGAGACTGAATAAAAAATACAGTAGTATAATGCTCTTGAACAGCACTTGAATTGCAAAATAGCATCTACTGCCACCTAGAGCACAATAATAATCCTTACATTTGATATAATGCCTTATCACATCTTTGAGATGTCTCAATCTGCTTTACAGAATATACTGTAAAGTGAATTGACTGTATATTTCGTGTAGCCAATTGCGCACAACAGTGTCCCACAAGCAGTCATGGATTGAAGTGACCAATAAAGAGTAGCTTTAATATTACTGATATGAAGGGATATTTCAAAGCAAGTTATACCAGCAGCATATTAATTATCCAGTTTTCTTTCTTACATGTTCCTAGCAAACACACCAGACCATCTAAATCTGGTGAGTTCAGTCATGCCATACAGTTCACTTACATTACTTAGCCACTGAGAAGGTTTTAATTCCATTAATTAAGGCTTCATTAATTTCTTTTACATTGGGACAACTCAGAAATTGCTGTTAGTGCTCAAATTCCTTTGGTAATCGTATTCCTTTCAACTACTGTCAGCCACAATCCGACTAAAGACAATCAAACATTAAGGTACATTAATTATTTTGATTTATTTTTAAAAGCATTTCCCATGACGACAACCACTTAGAAGTTTCAGATAATTTAAAATCACAATAACTTACTCATTCCAGAGCATTCCCTGTCTCCGTCCCATACATTCAGGACTGCATATCCAGTCAGCAGCAAATTGATCAGGCTTTGGCTAAAGGACAAACAGAAAGTAAATACTCAATGCATAAATTCAGACATCAAAAGCATCAAATGTTGGAAAAATTGAGTCTGATAAAGGTATGGTTGAGGCTACTGGCTGAGATGAGGGTGAGGTAGTAGCAGAGGCTGGCAATATTGCGTGGATGGAAGAAAGCAGATTTGGTCAGAACATGACGACAACATTGTAGCACATGGAGAGGAAGGGCAGGTTAGAGTTAGGTGATGATGTTGGGGTGGGGGGGAAGGGATAGGGTGCGGGTGTTTCACTGAGCTAGAATAAGTTTCTGTGGGTGAGCCAGACTTCATTGAGACCCAGAACCTTAAGGTGTTTGTCTAAAAAAAAGGCTCTGGTTGGATGGAGCTTTGTTTGCATAGGAGGAAACATTTTGAAGTGCAGTGTGGAAGGGACGGGCAGCGGACACTCAGACTAGAATGAGCTGGGAATATGTGTCCACAAGATATTGTAGCTTTGTATTTCACCAACTGTCATCCTGCTGAGTTTAGGCACACTGGACAAACTGCAAGCTGGCAAATATAAGAGCCCAATTAAAAAGCCATAGAAATCCTGCTGACCTTCAGACTGTTTAAACTGTTAAAACTGCAAGAATTAAGGCCAAACGCATACCATTTCCAATTGGAACCACAAGTCTGATAGAGGGACCCACCAAGTTTAATAAAAATTCCAGTAAGAATTTTCTTAAAGCAGGATACTGCAAATTCAGGGAATTTGGTTGATTCATAAAAGTTTAAATTAAATTAAATTATTTTAAATTAGGGTCAGTGCACCACACTACATTTCTAAATTGCCTGCAGCATTAGGGAGGATTACAGAGAACAAGGGCTTACATGAAACATTGTTTTCATGCAATTTCCTCAATTCAGCACTTAACCATGTGCCCCATAGGCTAAAAATCAGTGAGGTCTTCACCTAAATAAGTGCAAAATTCTTTTCACACATCATATGAGACAAAAGTCCCAGATTTTATTTACATATTGAAGGTTTCAGATTACTATGCTTGGAGACATCAATGGCCAAACATACAGATGGTTTCCATTATTTTGAAAGCAACTCAGAAGCCCGATTATCAGTAGACACAGATAAACCCACAGTGTTAAAAAGAATGAAACACAAAACCAGCCAGTGCCAACAATATACCAAAGGAAAATATGACTGGCTAGAGTGGCAGTTTTCAAAAGATGCTGAAGTGCTTGATGATAGGATGTCACTTATACTTACTCATAGGATGTCAACCCTTATACTGTACATTCCTTACCTGGTTATAAGTTAGAATGATTAATTCAATGACAATACAACAATAGTAATAATCCTTACATTTGATATAGCACCCTTCACATCGGGAGGATGTCTTAAAAGCACTGCAAAGAGGAGCCACTTTGTAGGCGAAACATTTACAAAATCTGACAAACAGAAATTATTTCCCATTTGCTAGATGTGTATTAAAATAGATTTGCCGCAATTCTTGGCATATTCAATAAATGCTGGGAAAATGGTAAGGAAAGGAATTTTGAACTGAATCGCATGAATCTCGCAAAAGAATGAAGTGCCAATCATTAATCTCTCTCTTTGACAGTCATTGATCTCTTACCAAATACCTTATGAACTTCAAAGTTTTACAAAATGTTCAGGTAGAATTCCAGCCTACTTCAACCCTTATACTGTACATTCCTTACCTGGTTATAAGTTACAATGATTAATTCAATGGTTAAAACACGGAATCCACCCAAACTACACTATGATACAGAAGAATCGTTAGAAACTATTTTATTCATGCCATGTTGCGCTGTAGTTTTACATGAGTCCTGCAGCTTAGTGGTTAGAGCACTTGCCTCGCAAGCGAGAGACCTGGGTTTGATTCCCGATAGGGCAAAATGTTGGCCAAGTTTCCTTACTCCACACGCCTCTGTTTATCTAGCAGTTAAGTAGGAACCCAGTTGTTGGTCGATTGGCGGATCACTTTTCTGGGGATAATAATTCCACCAAAAATAAATAATAAATTGGTTACTTCAATCCACGACTGTTTGTGGGACACTGCTGTGTGCAATTGGTTGCCACATTTCGCCCACAAAATATACAGTCAATTCACTTTAGTGTATATTCTGTGAAGCACTTTGAAATGTTTTAAAGACGTGATAAGGCACTATATCAAATAAAAGTATTATTATTATGTTTCTCTACTTCGACACCTGCAGGACACCAAGAGAAACTCTCTTCACTTTGCTGAGCAAATAATCAGCAATTTGCTCCTGCTTCAATTTCATGACGCCAATAGTGATGTATAAAAAAATTCTATAAATTTCAAATTTTCTATCTTCTCATTGGGAAGGCATGAGGTGAGTGTTTCTGGGGGTGGGGGGCAGGCTATCTGCTGAGTGTCTGATACATGCAGAAACCCATCACCATGCACGCATTTATTCAACCACCCCTACCCTCATCCATGCATTTATTACATCTAGGCTTGACTACGCCAACTCCCTGCTTGTTGGCCGTCCCAACTCTTCCTTCTATAAGCTCTAGATCATCCAGAACTCTGCAGCTTGTGTTCCCTCAAGCACCAGGCTCCCCGTCCCTATCACCCGCACCCGGTTCCACTGGCTTCCCATCCCCCAGAGGAAAGAGTTCAAAATTCTCATCCTCGCCTTCAAAACCCTCCACAGCTTTGCTCCTTCCTACCTCTGTGACCTGCTAACCCCATATCAACCTATCTGTTCCCTCAGCAGGCTCTGGCCTGCTCCACATCCAAATAGTGTAACATCCACCTGAACAGGCTGGTATTAATTCAAGTGGCCATTATACATGCGTCAGGAAATGTTGGACTCCTATGACAGTCCAGCTATTCTCATTAGCATAAGAACAAAGCAACAGCTGGTGCTTTCTTGAATAAGCTTTCTTGAATTGAGCAGAGAGCCCAGCAGTGTGAGGAGGGAACTGAGTGAGGTGGAACAGTGAAAATTCTGTTAAGGAATTTGGTGAGAGTGGGAATTCAGTGCAGAGGGGGAAAGAGGTGCATAATTATAAAATATATGAGTTAGATTAAAATAATATAAAACATCTGGGAATATGGCAGGGCAGCTGAGACTGGTTGCATGTGTGCCAAGTGGGAACTCCAGGATGCTTTGTGTACCATGGACAGACATGTGTGTAGGAAGTTTAAGCTTTGGCTGCTTGAGCTTGAGCTCAGAGTTTCTGAGCTCGAGGAGAAGATGGGAATCATAGATGGCATACAGAAGGCTGAAGAGTTCATCGATCAAACGTTTCAGGAGGTGGTCACCCCTCAGCCACAGAGAGTTCAGAGGACGTGAGTGGATGACCACCCGGCATGGTAGGAAGAGGGGACAGGCAGTGCAGAAATCCCCTGAATGTGTGGCACTCACAAACTGGTTCTCTGTAGTGAATACCAGTCAGGGTGATGACACCTCTGGGGAGAGGAGTCAAAAGCAAATGGATGCACAGGGGAACACAGGGAGCACTGTCAATGCAATTGTCTTTGGGGACACAATGGTGAGAGGAATAGACAGGTGTTTCTGCAACCAAAGACGTGACTCTCACATGGAACGTTGCCTCCCTGGTGTCAGAGTTAAAGACATCACAGAACGGGTGCAAAACGTCCTACAGGGGGAAAGGGAACATCCAGAAGTCGTGGTCCATGTTGGGATCCATGATGTAGGGAAAAAAAGGGCTGAGATCCTACAGGGAGAATATCAGAAGCTAGGAAAAAAGCTAAAGAGTAGGACCTCAAAGGTGGGGATCTCTGGATTACTCCCAGTGTTTCGTGCAAGTGAGTATCAAAACAGTGGGATCAAACACATGAATGCATGGCTTGAGCAATGATGTAGAAAGGAGGGCTTCAGGTTCCTGGACCATTGGGACCAGTTCTGGAGCAGGTGGAACCTGTACAATATGGATGGGTTACATATGAACAGGACTGGGACCAATGTCCTCGCAGGGAGATTAACTAGTGCTGTAGGGAAGGGTTTAAACTAATTTCGAGGAAGGAAGGGAATCTGGATGTAGCATCCGAGAGGACAAATAAGTGACATAGAGGGCTGGGAGAGATGAATAGCAATGTAATAAGGAGTAATCCAGAAAAAGGAGGGATTATACTGGGGAGAAATATAGAACGGACTAAACCGGTCCTGGAGTGCGTGTGAATAAATGCAAGGAGTGTGACAAATATGATTGATGAGCTGCAGGCACAAGTTGTCAAATGGGGTTATGATGTAGTGGCAATAACGGAGACTTGGATCAAACAAGGGCAGGAATGGGAGCTGAATACTCCTGGCTACAATGTATTCAGGAGAAATAGGGAAGGAATAAAAGGAGGGGAGTGGCGATATTGACTAAAGACACGGTTACGGCCCTGGAAAAAGGACAATGTGCTAGAGGGTCCAAAAAAACAATCTATTTGGTTAGAGTTAAGGAGCAGAAAAGGAGCTGTTACTCTGTTGGGTGTATACTACAGTCCACCAAATAGTGGCAAGGAGATAGACGAGCAAATCTGCAAGCAGATTTCAGAAAGATGCAAGACCAATAGAGTAGTGATAATGGGGGACTTCAATTATCCTGACATAGACTGGCAAAATAACAGTGTAAAGGGTAAGGAGGGGGAAGGATTCCTGAAATGTGTGCAGGATAACTTTCTGGATAAGTATGTTTCCAGCCAAACGAGAAAGGAGGCATTGCTGGATCTAGTTCTGGGGAATGAAGTGGGGCAAGTGGAGCAGATTTCAGTAGGAGAGCATCTGGACAACAGTGATCACAACATCATTAGGTCTAGAGTACTTATGGAAAGGGACAAGGAACAATAAAGGTGAAGATACTCAACTGAAAGATGGCTAATTTCAGTGAGTTAAAAAGGGACCTAGCCAAGGTGGACTGGAAAGAAAGATTGGCAGGTAAAACAACTAATAGCTAATGGGAATCTTCGAAGAGGAGATAGTTTGGGCACAGAACACAAACATTCCCACAAGGGGAAAAGGTAGGGCATCCAAACCTCCCTCGATGAATAAGGAAATTGGGATTAAAATAAAACAGAAAAAAGTTTATGATAAATGTCAGGTTCCAAATACAGAAGATAATCAAATAGAATATACAAAGTACAGAGGAGAACTGAAAAAGGAAATAAGAGGGGCAAAGAGATTGTATGAGAAAAGATTAGTGGGTAACATAAGAGAGAACACTAAGGTATTTTGTAAGGAAAAAAGGATAAAAGGTAAGTGAAAGGTAGAATGGGTCCAATTAGGGACCAAAGAGGAAATCTTCTTGTGGAGGCAGAGGGCATGGCTGACATACTGAATGAGCACTTTGCATCTGACTTCACAAAAGAAAAGGATTCAGCCAATGCCACAGTATCTTAATCTTAATTGGATAAGATAAAAAATAAACCGAGAAGAGGTACTAAAGGTGCTTAAAGTAGATAAGTCGCCCGGTCTGGACGGGATGCATCCTAGATTATTGAGGGAAATAAGGGTGGAAATAACAGAAGCTCTGGCCACAAACTTTCAATCCTCCTTAGTCACCGGGGTGGTGCCAGAGGACTGGAGTGTTGCAAATGTTACTCTCCTGTACAAAAAGGGGCAGAAAGATAAACCCAGGAATTACAGGCCAGTCAGCCTAAAGTCAGTAGTGGGGAAACTTCTAGAGACTATAATCCGGGACAAAATAATTTTTCATTTTATAGGTTAATAAAGAACAGCAAACACGGATTTGTTAAATTGTGTCTAACAAACCTGATATTTTGTTGAAGTAACGGAGAGGGTAGATGAAGGTAGTGTAGTTGATATGGATTTTCAAAAGGTGTTTGATAAAGCGCCACATAAGAGACTTGTAAGCAAAATAGAAGATCACAGTATTAAAGGGACTGTGGTAGCATGGATACAGAACTGGCTGGGAGACAGAAAGCAGAGAGTGGTGGTGAACGGTTGTTTTTTTTTCTGATTGGAGGGAAGTGTGCAGTTGTGTCCCCCAAGGGTCAGTATTAGGACCACTGCTGTTTTTGATCTATATAAATGACCTGGACTTGGGTATAGGGAGTACAATTTCCAAGTTTGCAGATACTAAGCTAGGAAAAGTAGTAAACAGTGAGGAGGATAGTAGTAGACTGCAAATGGACATAGACACACTGGTAAAATGGGCCGACACGTGGCAGATGAGGTTTAATGTGGAGAAACGTGAAGTGATGCATTTTGGGAGGAAGATTGAGGAGAGGCAATAGAAGCTGATGGTACAATCTTAAAGGGGTGAAGGAACAGAGAAGGGGGTCATATACGTAAATCTCTGAGGTGGCAGAACAGGGAGATAAAGCTGTTAAAAAGGCATACGGGATACTAGACTTTATAAATAGGGGCATAGAATACAAAAGTCAGGAAGTTATGATGAACCTTTATAAAACACTGGTTAGGCCTCAGCTCGAGTACTGTGTTCAGTTCTGGGCTCCACACTTTAGGAAGGATATCAAGGATGTCAAGGCAGTGGAGAGGGTGCAAAGGAGATTTACCAGGATGGTACCAGGAATGAGGGACTTCAGTTATCGGGAGAGGCTAGAGAAGCTAGGATTATTCTCCTTGGCATAGAGAATCTTAAGAGGAGACTTAATAGAAGTTTTCAAAATTATGAGGGGATTTGATAGGGTGAACAAGGAGAAACTATTTCCACTGGCGGGTGGGTCGGTAATCTGAGGACACCGATTTAAAATAGTTGTTAAAAGAAACAGAGGGGAGGTGAGGAGCATTTTTTTCACACAGTGAATTTGGATCTGGAATGCGTTACCTGAAAGGGTGGTGGAAGTCGATTCAATAACAACTTTTAAAGAGTTGGTAGACACGATAGACCGTATGGCCTCCTTCTGTGTTGTATAACTCTACGATTCTAAGTACTTCTATGTCTAATATCAAGCATTGAAACTGATTAAAATGATTGTTAGAGGGCCACCTCAATATGCAACTCTGCTTGTTCACCTATATATAAAATATATATTAATTATATATAACTACACATTACAAAGATCTCCTTTGTAAAATGATTGTATCTTATCCATTCTTACATTGAACTATAAATCAATCAGACCAAAAATACTTTATTTGTAAAACAGATGAAAAACTACCTTCCATGACCATATACAGGGTCGATTAAGGGTTCAGCTGTATCTTCAATTTCATTTCTAACGTTTGCAATGCCCTAGAAAAGAAAGTTACATACAGAAAACATGATAATACGGTAAGGCAAGAGAAAATTAATTTTTTTTCTAATATTGCTCTCTTGCTGCAATATATATCTTTTGTCATACAATCGGCTCTTCATACAGCGAAGTCAATAGCAAGGACACATAGATTAGTTGTAATTTTTTATTTTAAAAGACATTCACTTCTGATGGCCTAGTCAAAGCAGGGTTGCCCAACCTTTTGGCTGCTGAAGGCTGGATATTCTATTTGAGAAACGTCCACAGGCCACATTGGTGACATTTTTGTGTTTCCTTTCTAAAAATATAACATAACATATTTATGTTATGGAGGGAGTGGGTAGGTCAGATGAAAGGGTGGGGGGCGGGCGGATGAAATCGGCCCGCGGACCGGATGCCGCCAGTTGGACTGCCCTGACCTAGGCATATGGACAATTGTTCAATTACCAATTTGATCTGAGCTGGGGAGCTACTACTAACACTAGCACTGGATAAGGTAGAGGTGGAAATATTATCCAGGGTCTCCATTTTCCTCCAGTTAGCCTTGCTGGAAGCCTGCATATGGTTAAGAATGTGAGATTTTTTCACACATGCATGGATTCTTTCTCTAATCTTGCATTTATCAGAATCAAAATCGACACAGCTAATATATTCTCAATTTTCACTAGACATGAGGCTGGACTAAAAGGGAAATATTTTACATAACAATATTAATGATCTTAGTCAAGGCAAAACAGGCCTTTGCTGTCAAATTTATGATGTAATAATTATAGTTGATGTCTGCAAACATTAAGGAACAGAAGACTAACCTTTGTCAAAATGACAGAGTAAAGAAAAAGCAGAACTCCAAACCGGTTCCTCCAAGTTGAATATTGATCAAAAACTGCCTCCTTTAGTTCAGTCACATTTGCATATGTGCGTTTTCTGAAATGTATTAAGTAAAAAACTCATTAAAAATACATATTTGAAGATATCTGCCCATTACACAAATACGAGTCCTAAATGAGAAATAATTCTACACTCGGCATTGTTTTAAGACTGAATAAATATTTGTATAATGAGAACCATGACACAGACGGGTTTCTGTCAATATACCTCATGTGTAACTGTATTCTTCTTTCATTAAATGTTTTACGACATTTGGAAGCATTATAAATTAGGTTAAAACTGTCATACACCACAGCTGACTGCTTTGATCAATTATTTTAATATTCTTTCCACCTAGTTATCTTACAAGAAGTAGTTTATTTTCAAATCTTAGACATTCTAAATATTTATGGGGGATGGGAAGAGAGAAAGAACATCAAAGTGTATTATGGAGAATTAATTATGCACAGTGGGTTATGCAAGGTGAAGATAACCATGTTTATGAAAGGGCTGAAATTGTTTCTTTAACGACTTGCAGATTTAATTTGCATTAGTTCTCTTATTTAGATAGCCCAGAAATTCAGCTAAAAGGTTACCTAACTCACTAACCTATGTCTCAATTTTTCAATCTCAAGATTAATTAAGTTCAGAAGAAAACATTAGTCATTAACCTTAGTTTTTCTTATTAAAATCAAAGATTTTACCTCGCAACAAACTAGTGAATTTGATACATGGGTCATTCAATACTATGGTGTTGTAGAAAAGTTCTGTTGTTAAAAAATGATGCCAGAAACGTTTGGAGTGCTGAATATTTCAGTGTTAAAGCTAACGTTTTTTTTTACAATGTAGTTTAACATTACGTTATAATATTTAATGTGAATAATCCACTTCTGAAGGAGGATGGAGGCATAGTGAGATGAATTTAGTTGTATATTAGATAATTTATTATGCAAAACGTATCTGAACGTGATGGAGTTCAACCCCACCCGTCTCCTCTTCCACTCCCATAGTGGCACTCAGGACTTTTGTCTGGTCATTGCTGGCTTTCAGGATTCCAGCTGTTTAGTGAACAGAAATCTTAAGGCATCCAGGTTCCCCTCAGTGTTAAGCCATTATCTGGAAACTCAATGTGATGGAACTGGCACCCCACAGCTTGCCATTGAGAACCTTATCAGAGTTTGTTCATAAATGTTTAAGATTTCCCAGAATTATTTCTTGATCAGTCTCTGTTTTAATGTAAGCACTTCAGTTTACAGCCAAGATTAAAATAATTTGTTAATTTAAGAGGTAATTTTACAAGAATCATCCACTTTAAAGGGCATTTTTTTCTTCTTCCAACTTCCTCCCCTCCGTCCCAAAATATTCTTTTGAACTCCTGCTTCAATGTTTCTATTTATTTAATTTCATATCAGGTTGACACTGAGGGTTTGATTGTATTGATCTTTTCACTCTATTTTTATAATTGGAGGGAAATGTTGATTCAGAGCTCTGCTGGAACATTGTGAAGCTTTTACATTATTATGTAGTGATAGAATACTGTTCAAGTTAGGCTGCTCTTCTAAGTTACAATAAACGAACCCTCAATACCTTCGAATTTTGAATCAGACAAACAATGCAATTTTTGTATGTATTTTATGTGTTAAAATAATGCTAAAAGTGAAGTAAGTTTCAAATGATGTACTAAGACATTATATCAAATGCAGTATTATTATTATGTATGTGATGTTAATCCAATTTCAAGTTCCTCTTTACTCAACCAGCTTGGTTTCAGATTGGTTTCAGATTTGAATTGGTAAATTTGCTTGTATTACTGCAGTCAATGTAACATCAATGCAGGCCTCCCTGCTTCCACTGGAGTACCAAAAGAATTTCAAAATCAAAAAAGCGACAATGTTGTGCATACTTAATAGATTTTGGGTCACTATCTCAATGGGCAGGTCTAGACATATTCAGCGAATCCTTGAATGAATTCTAAATTTGAGTGCTGGAGGCATCTGCCTATACTACGATTGACACAAGTTAAAATGACCTTAAGAGTGTGCTTATAATGAAGATAAAGTTTGTTTTTCTCTACAACAGTAGCTGCTGGATATAAATATCTGTACCACCTAAACTGAGAACATCTGTTTCTTCTAGACTGAAAATAAATTCTTGCATTTACATTAAATATTCCTATTATAAGACTTTTAAGCAAAATAAGGCCTAGTTATTACATTTTGTCTAAATGCAGCATGGAAGAAGTAATTATTGGCCTAAATTTGACTGTGCAAAAAGGTTTTGAAAGAGAAAAGTTTTAGGTTTAATCAAACTCTGAATCAAATCTTTAAGATCTTAATAGATTCACAATAAAAGATTTACTATAGTTTTATTAGATATAAAACCTTTCCCCACACCATTAACTTTTTGGAAGATTTAAAAAACAGGTTAAACAAAGGATTGTTGAACACCTTAAGGTTTGAGTACAGAACTGATCAACTTAATGCACTTGAATTTACAATTTGAAAGCCACTTCAATTTAATGAACAGTTAATAATTCCTGCATGAACAGTCAGCAATTCCCGCATAAATCTCCTAAAAGCAGTGTGTTACTTACTGAATCAGCGTATGAAATCTCTCAGAGCCAAGCTCCTCTGCAGCCAAGGCAGCTATACATAAAACCAGACACTTTTCAGCACCACAGACAGCAATAAAACAAAGATTACACACAGCAAAGCTCTATTGTATTTCAGTGTTAAAAGGTTAATAGAAGTAAATGTTCTATTGTTCTTCAAGCCGGCAAACAATTGATTTTTAAAACATCTAATGTGTAAGATTTTGTTCTCCTCAATTTACAATCATATCCAGTACTGGCATGACATTTAAGATATTATGCTCAACTACGCATAAATCAACATGTAAAAAATACATTTCAGCATGTATAGTTTTAAGATAATTTCTTTAAAAATTTCATTTCTTTCCTGCCCCCCCCACCCAGCCCCACCCAATTGTCTTGCACTTAAAATTTGGAAACCCTGCTTAACATATTGACAAATCTACATCTCTAACAAATTGCTTGATCAACCCAATTGATGGACAAGTGCACCCCAGAAAAAATACATTGTACACCACACAGGCAATATCAGGTTTTAACAGCATCCTGTATGAATGCAATCTGCTTGCATTCAATACACAAAAATGGCTCAGTTTTAGGGAACATTTTTAATGTAAATAGTTTTGCTGCCCTGAAGTTAAAAATAAGCCATAAATAAATTCTTGGTTTCAATCTTCTCTCCCCACCCACCATTTTAAAGTTTCTCGACTAATTTGTGCTGTGCTGACCCGCTGTCAGATAGATGTCTATCTATGCCAATCTTGTAACAGGTCAAGAGCAAGAGCTATTCAATAGTAATTTTTCCAAACAAGATGATGGTACTGCTATTTATTTTCTTTCATTTTAATAATTCAGTAGCCAAGCTGTTCAAGATACATGATGCTGTTTGATGGATAATATACATATCCCAGTGGCTGCAGTCACCTTTTTGCAACCAACAGTGATAAATTGGACTAACACTCAACTGCTTGGTGAGTTTCTTGAATTGGGTAGGTTGACACCTTGTCGAGGTTCCAAGATATGAAGGGAAATGAATGGTATGAATCCAAGGTATGAATGGCAGGGGACATTAAAGCTGTCAACCTACATTTTACTGAAGGTGATCAATGGAAATTAAATGCAATTAAATATATATCCTGATTCAATCCTGATTTAAGTGGGAAGGGAAAGGTGAAAGGGTGTCTGTTCAGATTTCAATGGAATTCATTGGCAGACTGAAAAAATAAGATGTCTAGGACCTTGTTTGCAGTCAGGTCAAATGGAATCACAACAAGGAAGCGTTGAGTCTGGTTACATTGAATTCAAAGTAATCGTGATTTCAATTTGCATCGTAAATGATAGAAGATAGATAGTCTTTAAAACTCTTCCAGGAGGTGAACAAGATTCTGCCTTTCCACCATTGTCCACCATTCCATCAGGACTCCAAAACTTTCTCTGGACTGAAGATGCATCTGATTAATCCTAATTTGACCTCATTTGTATTTACTGTAGGTCAAGACTGTGCTTCACAGATAGACTCCCATTAATCAATACTTTTCTCCTCCACTTCTACTATGAGACTATGGGTTACCTATTTATATAAAGTTACTTGATTGCAGCTTTATGGGAGGGAGAAGGTCCATTGGTCAATCTTTGTCAATTGGCTTCATCATACAGGAAGCCTTTAAAGGCTTGAGTATACAACTATTGACAGTCATGAATTTTCAAGAGAAATGTTGAGGGCGGGTCGAATACAAGTTAACTCCACTTTCCCTCAAATTGGTTGTTCAGAATATGAGGCTGCACCACTCAATTGGACTGACGAGGTCGTCCTTTCTTCCTATTCACCCACCAAAGATGCATTGCTATGCAACATACCCTCCAATACAGTTGCAGAGTAAAAGTGCAAACTGGCTGGTAAGATCTTATGTAAGCCAGTTTTTAAAACACCAATTTAGGAGCTCACATGAAAAACGTCCAACACAAATCCAAGTCCCACCACTCCTCAGCACATCTTACAGGCATGGAGCGTTTCCCCTGAGTTAATTTCCTCACATTACTCAGTTGCTCATATTTTTCTGTGTCTGGCTAAATGTGAAAGTAATAATAACAGGGGAATCAATTCTGAGATACATTTGATCCCAGTCCCATCAAATCCAAATGTGGCAAAGTCAATATCTTACTCATCAGCAGTAAAATGCCATCACACACAAGCTAATGCTGAAGTCCAGCTTCACGAATGTTGCTGTTATTAAAACAAGCATAACAGGGGTGGAATGAAAGGTAACAGATACATTCAATGGGACAAATTTAGCAATACTCAAAGTCACCCACTATAAGATAAGCATGTTCTTTTAAAAAAATTGGAACGTAGTAAAAACCCAATGTGCTAATTAATACACATTGTAATAAAATGTAGAATATAAAGAAAAGTCTATAAGTACACGATTCTAACTTCATTGATAACAAGCTTGTACTTTAAAAAGTATCTCTAGATTGTATGAGGGAGCAAAGAGAAGCAAAGAGCTCCATTCTTGATGTCTTGGGAAAGAGGAGGCCATGGCATACGTGCAGTTTCAATTTTAATATAGGGAGGAGGAAAAGTGTGGAAGCTTGGAAAGAAGGAAACTGCGTAGGGGCATACGCCACATGAAAACCTATTAAGTAAAGATACTGCAGGAATCTCTTGCATACACTGTAAGTATTCCCAGGTAGCTCAAAAGAGATAAGGACTTGCCAACATTTAAGTTGTGGAAGAGATTGCACAATTGCTTTCCATACAAAATTACAACATGATCAACATGCTATGCAAGCAAGATGCTTCCTGCTGCGACTCTTAGTGTAGCAGTTATTTCCTTAAAACACTTTGCCCAGCCTGAAAACAATGAATGTTTGAGGTAAGAGCCTGCAGGATCGTGTAACTACACAACACGTCTATTTAGCAATCATGTGCCCCCCAAACCAGCCAGAAATAGTGCTCATGCAAATCAACAGCATTTCTAACAATTAACTTTTACATTCTGCATCAATCACAACTGTCGAACTCAAGGTTTTTTCACTACAGTCTTGATTTTATTTGTAATAATAGACATGCAGACACCTAAATTAAGCAGTCAAAACAGCAAAAGTGTTTCTTTAAGAAAATATTCACCATAATTTATTATTATTTATCCAAAAAGTTGGTTTCTTACAGAGCTGTTCCTCCTCTGACCCTTGGCTGGATTCTGGCTGGTCAGAAATGCTGGCATGCCCCTCTTGTTTCCTGTCTCGCGGTAATGTTACCAAACAAAAGGGGCTGGAATGCTTTAATCTTGCAGTTTCTAGAATTTCACACAACGTGAGGCAGAAGAAGTTCTTACGTTCTTCCTCTAAAAAATAAATCAAAATAAGACTATACGTTTACAACACATACAGAGAAAATCACTGCAAATTAATAATTTACAAATCATTCTCATTCATTGATAGGTCAATAAAAACCTACAACATATATGAATTGCCCAAAACATTTTTTTTTCTCTGAAAAAAACACATAAAATTATATATTGAACCTTTCAAATCCATTTGACTGTCATCTATATTACTCTTTTATCAAGCATACACTACTAAAACAATCCATGAGGCACACAATTCCATTTTAATAAACCATAACAGCTCTTTATATCTTAAATTCCATTGTATTGCTCTTTTTCAATAACCCGTAATATTCAAGTATGCATCAATCTCCCTTTTAACATCTTAACCTATTCTATTCTGTATTTAATGTGCCAGTGCATTATACATTCTTGTAATACTGTGTGGAAAAAATATTTTCTAACCGGATTAGCATTCATTTTAGGACATATGACCTTGTTCTGAATTCATCTATCACAAGAAAAAATCATACTCTGTAAATTCTCTTCTCTCCATCACTTCTTGTGATAATGCCTAGAATAAGTCTTTTTAACTTAATTCTACAAGTAAAAATGAAACTACATTTAAACCAGGACTACACAATCTATTTGCTAATTATCTCCCTGCAATTTTAAACATATTTCATCTGCTGTTGTGCCCAAAGCACCTCTTACATTGAACTCCACTTGCCATTATTCACCACTTGCCATTGCCACGGGATGTCGACTACACAGCTCATCCCCCAAAATTGCACCTATTATCTCAACTCTGCTTTCTTCCCCTCATCCAATTTCAATTCCACAACAGTTGACTGACTATAATTTTAGCTAATAACCTCTATATAAAAACTTGCCAAATGACTTCTGAAAATCTATTTAAATTACATCCATTCACCTCTACCTACCACTAAGATGATTTTGTCAGATGATTTTGTCAAAGAACTGTTTAGTTAATAAGACATAATTTTAAACAAAGAACATGCTGACTCTGACAAATTCCAAATTCATACTTGCCCAAGGGTTCACTTGCTGTAAATATTATTTCTAGTTGTTTTCATATGACTGATGTAAAACTCTCTTGCCTGTACTGTAGTTACTTGGTTTCTCTCTTGGTTTGTGTTTTTAAGTTAGATTCAGTGGAAGGAGGCATTTCAGCCTAATTGATCTCATTTTTCCACAATACTAGCTCTACTGTCCTCAAATTACAGCATCAAGCCATTTTTTAATTGAGTCCAACCGTCCTGATAACATGTTCCAGTTGTTTAGTTACTCTAGAAATACTTCCTGGGGTCTATCCTAAAATTGCCCTTTACATCCTTGAACTTGTGACCTCTTATCTTAATGGTTTTGTACTTCTGAAAGTAATGTTCTGGGTTGACTTTCTCTTTTGCATTAAGCATCTTATATACCTCTATAAGGGCCACCCTCGGACACTTTTCAAAGCTGAAGTCTGTTTCTTTAGCCATTTCATACAGTTCATCCCCTGAACATTGGGGATCAGCCATTTTGCGGTCCATTTAGGGTCTGGGCACCATCCTTGCATTGTGGTGATGAAAAAAAATGTACCAAAAGGTACAGCCTGACCTCCCTCTGGCAAGCTGGGATGTTACCTCAAAAGTACCAAGACTTGGGTCAGACAAGATCTGTCCCCTCTGAAGGTGTTAAGTTTTTATTTGTTTTGTTTTTTTACACACATTTCATCCCATTTTACTTTTAACCATTGATTCAGTTAGTTTTCCAATTATTGAGAATTCAATCTGGTTAATACGTATCTTGCTTCTTAACAAAGAGCCATTAGTTTCTGGAATATTTCAATCAGATTTGCAATTTTCCAATCTGTCAGATTCCTCAGTGTCTACCTCCCTTAAATGCTTGTGATTATTTCACAAATCTCCCTCATCTTCATTTACCTTGATATTCAACTTATCGGTTCCAGAGGTTTTATTGATTTTTAGACTTTTGATCCAATCTAAAAACGTTGCCATACTAATGTTGAATTCTTGGACCTCAACACTTTGGTCCCAATAGCTCCATACATTACAATGATTGGTTTGTACTAATCCTTGCAATTTTCCTCCCATTTGCAAACCTCAAGCCTTCCCCGTACTTCTGGTATCATATTCCTCTTCCCCATGGGAAAGTCTGAAGCAAAATATTCATTCACTTCAACGATTGTGTCTAACTGCATGACTAGGTATGGATGGAAGTTCAGATAAACTTGCATAAGTTGCATCAGTCAGGACCATAACAATGGAAACAACTTATTCAAAGTACGAGTTATGAATAAATCGGATTATATCCGACTAATACAAAACAAATACAGTACATCTGTACAATGCACATGTCCTCATGTACAGAAAACCTGTACAATGAATGGCGCTAGCAAACATATTTCAAAATGAAATATTTTAATAGAACATGAACTCTTACAAAGAACACTGTAACTGAATTATTTCACTGTATCAAACTTTGTCAATGCAGCCGGTAGATGCGGGTGTGGTGATACAGGTTGGAAAATTATTTCCATTAGGATTTACGTTATTTGTAATTTATTCGAGACCAAGAAATCGTTACGATTTAGCCATTTATCTGACTTGTAAAATCTGACTAGTGCAAAGAAATCGAAGTGGGTTTTAGTAGAAAATGAATGGGATTTGGGTGCATGTACGACTTAGGCAAATATACAACTTATAACAAGATGGTTTATGTGACTTCACCTGTAATACAATCCTTTAGTCCTGCCAATCAAACTACTTCAATTTCACTCAAGTGGTTCAGCTGAACATAAGAGCAGCTCAGTTTTATTATTCTGTATTTATTATGTGTTCTTACAAAGTACTCTGGATATCAAGTGGATTTTTAGAAAGTTTTCAACAAAATTCTGCATTAATGACTAGTCACAGAATCTAGGATCACATATGGTCTTGGCTGGTTAATTGGCTTAAATACAGAAAACTGAGGGAATGTCTCCAACTGAAAATACATTACGTGAAGTATAGTCCATTTTTTCTCTTACAGATTAATGTCTTGGATTACGGTTCAATAATTCAATTAGTCGAGTTTGAACATTACACCAAACCAGCAGGAAGAATTAAATTAAAATGTATTCAGATTTGGAAGAATTTGAATCTTTTAGGAAGCTGGACTATAAAAAACAGTTTGATGCAGTTCAAAGTGAACAGGTGTAAAATAATTGAGTTTTGGAGGAAAGAACTTAAAAGTGCACGTTAAGTGAAACAATTAAACAACATAATAAAGAACATCTGGGGGTTATTGTGAATACAACTATAAATCTGTCAATCCAGTGCGTGATTGCACAAAAATACAGTAAAACTTATACAAGTCTTACCTTTGCACATCATATAATCGCCTAAGTCCACCCAAGTTCTACTTAGTTTCCTATCAAAACTACTTAGATTTCTTTGCAATAGCCCTATTAATCATCTCCCAACTCAACAACGCTCCTCTATCCTCCATTACTCCCGCACATACCGGCTGCAATCTGCAATGAATCACGGGAAACGTAGCCTTGATCTGTCAACGCACGTGCAAAAGAACGTCATTTCCCACAATTCAATGCGATTCCCATGCTTGCTTACAAGTGCACACGAGGAAACTGGTTAAGATGCATTGAATCACGGGAAATAATCGTGATGTATCACCGAGTACGCACTTAACGGCTGCAGTGATGAACTACCACGTGGGCATTTACTGGCTGCATTGAATTATTCACGTGCAGTTTATATTATTGATTAAATCGGATTTGATCCAACTTATACAGTTTGCCTGCAACTCGGACTTCATGGAAGTCATATTAGATATTATGGTCCTGAGTGATACTTCAGAGATTTACTGTATATAACTTGTTTCAATTGATACAAGGATAAAATACAAATCAAAGAATTGTACGCATGTTACTGTATAAAAGGTTGTTGAACCTGAGTAGAATACTGCATGCATCAATTCCTAGAAGATGCAGAAAATATTTACCTTGAGTGTATAAAGGTCTTGGAGGTGTGCCAACACAATCTTGGTTATCAGTAAAAAGACAACTTATCGCATTTATATAGTGCCTTTCACTTCAGGAGGATGTTAGAAAAATAATTAAGAAGGTTAGGGAAACTATACTGGCTCTCCTGGGGAAAATGATTTTGAAGTGAATGTGTTCAAGTTCTCAAAATTAAGAATGAGGATGACAAAGTAGGTGTGGGCAAGCTATTTACTACATTAAAAGTTAAAAATCAGAAGGAAGGAGCAAAAGGAATTTTAGTTAGGAGTTAGTTAGGAGGAACTTTTTTTTAATCCATTTATGAGGCTTTGCGGCACACAAATCTGCTGCCGCATCCATCTATAAATACTCACTACAATCATTACAGAAAGTCTATAATAATAATCCTTGCATTTGATATAGCGCTTTTCACGTCGGGAGGACGTCCCAAAGCGCTTCACAGAACACACTGTAAAGTGAATTGACTGTATATTTGTGGGCGAACGCGGCAGCCAATTGCGCACAGCAATGTCCCACAAACAGTCGTAGATTGAAAATGACCAATTTATTATTGTTTTTGGTTTTGGAGGGATTATTATTAGGCGTGTGGAGTAAGGAAACTTGCCCAAGGTTTCTCCCTCTGCCTGGAATTGAACTCAGGTCTCTCACTTGCAAAGCGAGTGCTCTAACCACTGAGCTACAGGACTCCACTGAAGTGCTTTGAGATATGTTTTGGTGTGCTGAGGTACTGCATCAAAATGCAAGGATTATCATTAATTACGATTGCATCAATAAAACCTCCACACCTATATTCATACTTTTTAAAAAATATTTGATGGATTTACCAAGTAGATTTATGCAATCAGAAATTAGAGGACAACAAAACGTAAACTTTGGAGAGCGATATCAAGATAGGTTACCTGTACATTCTCGCCAATTTTGTTTTTCATTACCGAACACAACATTCTTTAACAGAAAAGCCTGCAAAAAGAAAATGCTTTAGGAATCCAAATGTTTCTTACACTTATCATAAAAGATGTAAAAATATTCATTCACGCAGTTAGTGAAAATTATGAACGAGCTGAACAATGAGATGAAGCTGCTTCTCACTGAAAGTGGTCTGAAAATGGTGGCGAGAAATATCTCAATATTCTTGGAAGTTTCCCCCCCAACCCCCCTCCTAGTTTGTACCACTTTAACTTCAAGACAATCAATTAGTTACAGATACCTAAAAAATGATGTACAGTTTGAGTTTAAAATAGTTAAAAAGAAGTTACATGCTTTTACTTTACAAGGGGTTACAGATTTACAAAGCATCCAGATGAACTGGATCATATAATGCAGTTATTTTGGAGCCCATATAAAACTGAATTGTTCCACTACATTTACAGAATACATCTGCACTTCGAAGCTACAAACTGCTGGTATTGGTAATCCACTATTCTCAGATTGTAATTGTAATGATATCAGAGTACACGTTATATTATTAGATCACATCAGAAGAAATCATATCTTACATAACAAGAATACAGTCTAAAGAGGCACTGATTCAAGATTCAAATAAAGCTTTGAGAATTCAGTTGCCCATCAAAAATATAAACCAAATGAAATTAAGATGTACACTTAACAAAATAAGGCAAGTTAAGTATTTGAGCCTGACTCATTCGGGTTTTAGCTCTCGACAAATGTCCAACTTTTTTGATGTTCTGACTAATATTATTCTGGCTAAAATGCAACAGAAGCATATCTGTAATAACAACAAATTTATACAGCACCTTTCACATCGTGAGGACATCCAAGGTACTTGACAGTCAAGGATTTGGTCCCTAGTTGGGGTTGGAATCAGGAGGAGTGGAGGGCAGGGAGTAGGAGTAGGAGGGTGACTGAAGTTGCAGTTGAAAACAACGGTTTTGAAACGAGCCTTGAAGCAGGCAAGGGAGGGGTTGAGGTGAAGAAACTGGAGGTTGGCATTCCAAAAGGTGGGAGCAGAGGGCTGAAGGCCTGACTGCCAATGGGGGGCAGGCCGGGCAGGGGACATGGAGCAGGCAGTAGCCCGCTGAGCGGAGGGAGGGTATAGGTCGGTATGGAGTTAGCAGGCCACAGAGGTAGGGAGGTGAAAGGCTGTGGAGGGATTTGAAAGCAAGGACAAGGATTTTGATTGGCGGCAGCCAATTGTGCAAAATGATGAAATTATTTATTCTTATTTATTTTAAAGGGATTAATAACCCTAGAAAACAATCTGTCAATCGGCTAAGAACCGGGTTCCTACTCACTGCTAGGAAAATAAGTGGAGTAAGGAAACTTGCCTAAGGATTCGCTCTGCCCGGGAACCAAAACCGCTAATACTCAATAAAACCAATACACTAAAGGACTCCACAAATTGATATAGTGAAAGGCACAAAATCAATGCAATTTGTTGTTACCCACAGAACACAGCAAAGAGAAGTTTTCCAGCTAAATCGTCCTAGAGAAACCAATCAATTCAATCTATGCTCTGTTCCAAATTAGTTAATCTCATCTGTAGGAAAAAGGAGCCCAAAATATTTTGGAGATAAGAAAATTAGTAAGAGAAAGAATGATGGCTTGAACATTTCTTTTTGTGCCAAGATTTGGTTTAAGAAAATTATCTTTTAGCTGTTCCTATGCTACTTCATAAATAAGTCAAATTTACGTCATGAGCCAGTGAAATGTTTCAGTACCAAATTAATAAATTTTCCTCCAACAGCAGGAAGATGAACAACTCAAATAAGCAGGTACTGTCCATACTTTACCTGAACAGGTGCAATCACGGCACAGGGACCACCTTCAAATTGTTCTAAAGATGTAGCTTCTGACTGACTAAAAACAAATCCTGAAATAGAAAAAGAAAAAATGAGCTTCAAAGATTTAAGTTAAATCTGTTTGGCTTTTTGATGCAGGGACAGCAAAGCAACAACAGCAACTTGCATTTATTTATATAGGGTCTTTCACACAGGTAGTGTCACACACAGCAACAAATAATTCAATGGGTAATAGACAGCACAGGAGAAGCAATTATATGATGGTGCATCCTCCAGAACAAGCAAGGATGGCTGAAACAAGGCATGATTGTGGCAAACAGACAGTGGAAAAGACTTTTGGGGTCAGCCAGGTGTCTGACACAATGGACAAGCCATCACCATGCTTAAGAAAATCCACACCTGACAAGAGTTCCACATATGGAAATTTCCCCATGTCAGGAATTATAATGCTCGTTCTCTCTCTATACGGATGCATCTTACTCAGTTCGTTCCAGAGTAGTAGGCAAGCCGAGGCTTGGTGACCATAGAGTGTAAATTAAGGGTACTGGTGGAGTTTAACCAGCTCAAACCACGTAGGTTGCCATTGACAGCACAGTCTAGTAAAAATAATAAAAATACTTGCATTTGATATAGTGCCTTATCGTGTCTTCAGGACGTCTCAAATGCTTCACAGAATATACTGTATATTTTGTGGGCAAAATGCTACAGTCAATTGTGCACAGCAGTGTCCACAAACAGTCGTGGACTGAGTGACCACATCGTTTTTAAAAAAGGCTTTATTACCCCCGGAAAATGATTCGCCAATCAACTAACAATCGGGTTCCTACTTGTTGCTAAGTAAACAGAGTGGAGTGGAATCCGGGAATCAAACCCAGGTCTTCTCACTTGCAAGACAAGTGGTCTAACCAGTAAGCTACAGGTCTCCATCTTCCTGTTGGTTACAGTTTCAGCACTCCAAGATGCTATCCTACTTGAAGGAGACTTTATAAATGCAAGTTGTTGCTGCTTGTCCTGCCAGGACCAGTCTAATCAATAAGGCCTTGGGTTGCAGGGTTAAATGAGCTGAGAGAGAAGATTCCCTGCTCCCAATGCACCTGCCCTAATTTCCCCTTCGAGTCCTGCTGACAAGTCAGATTGACTGAGTTCGCAGTAGTGTGGTCAGAAACTGGACCATTGAGATCACCATATCAGTTTCACTCGTTTCACGCGCCTTGGGACGTGCTCCCGACGTGAAAGGCGCTCTATAAATGGAATCTTGTTGTTGTTGTTGTTGATTCTGACATCCCATTGTCAAGCATATCATCTTGGAGCAGTGTCAGCTCTCCACATACCTGTCTTTCCTCAATAATCGAACAAAAATACAAACTGTCGCCAGGGAGCAAGAGAACAAGACTAGCATCCAGCAGGTATAGGGGACCAGGCTGGTACCTTGGGGTAGGCAAGACTGATATCAGATGGGCAGAGGGGGATAATGACAAGAAGCTGGCAGGGAGGATGGGGAACAAGAAAACATAGTGGACAAGGCCATCTTGGACCACTTTTTCATCTCCTTCTCCTCTCACATCGCTCTGTCCTCCACCAAGCCCTCAACCATCCTCTACCTCCCTTGGAAAAGGCTACCCCCTGAGACCCTTGCAAATGCCCTCTCATCATCAAATATCCTTTCCCTCTGGCCTTCCACCTGCGCAGATCCTGAAGCAGCCGTCCAGCTGCTCCATGATCGCCTCTCCTCCACTTTCAACTCCCCCGTGCCCCTGAAATCTAGGATCATCTCCAAACACACCCGATCCCCCTGGTATAGCAACAATCCCTGCCGCCAAAAAACTCAAACCCGTCTGCTCAAGCGCAAATGGTGGAAAACTGGCCTGACAATTCACCGCCAACTGTGGCTCGAGCATCTCCACAGCTACCGCCGTTCTTTGACTCGTGCAAAAATGACTTTCTACTCCAACATCATCTTGGAGGCTAAACACAACTCAAAAATCCTTTTTTCCACCAACCACTACCTCCTCCGTGAGCCCCCTCATGCCACTTCAATCTTCATATCAAATGCCAAGTACGAGGAGGTCATGGACTTCTTTTCTTCTAAAATACTTAACATCCGCCAGGCAGCTCATTCACCTGCACCTTGTCAAAAAAGGTGCAGGTGGATCATCTGCTCCTACCACCACCCCCATTCTACATTCCTTCCACCCCATCTCTCCCTCGTCCCTCTCACCCACCATCACCTCCATGAAACCCACCACCTGCTGCCTCGACCCCCTCCCCACCAACTTACTGGTCACCCAGCTCCCCCTCCTCTGCCCACTACTGGCTGACATCTCAACCAATCTCTCTCCTCCGGATCAGTCCCTGCCTCCCTCAAAACTGCTGTCATCACCCCCTCCTGAAAAAACCCTCCCTAAATCCCTCAAACCCCAGCCACTACCGCCCTATTTCTAACCTGCTCTTCCTCTCAAAAGTTCTAGAACGCGTCGTTGCCAACCAACTTCGCGTACACCTCTCCTCCCACTCCCTCTTCGAACCCCTCCAGTCTGGTCTCCGCGCTGCCCACAGTACAGAGACTGCGCTTGTGAAAGTCACAAATGACATCCTCTCTATCTGTGACCAGGGCTCCCTCTGCCTCCTTGTCCTCCTGGACCTCTCCGCCGCATTCGACACAGTCGATCACGCCATCCTCCTCCACCGCCTTTCCTCCGTCATCCACCTCAGTGGGACCGCACTCGTCTGGTGCGAGTCCTACCTCACAAACCGCCAGCAGTACATCTGCACAAACGGCTTCTCCCCCACTCTCACCCGGTCACCTGTGGGGTACCCCAAGGATCCATCCTTGGCCCCTTCCTCTTTCTGATCTACATGCTCCCTCTTGGGGATGTCACCTGCAGACATGGGGTACATTTCCACACGTATGCAGATGACACCCAACTCTATTTTTCCAACTCTCTTAGCGACCCCCAGTCCCCTGATGTTCTGTCAGTCTGCCTGTCAGATCTCAGGGGCTGGATGAGCGCAAACTTCCTTCAGCTGAACATTGACAAGACGGAAGCCATACTTTTTGGCTTTCGTCAACGTCTAAAATCTCACGGTTCTCACCTCCTCCACCTACCCGACCTCCCCCGAAAACTCTCCAAACCCGTACCAACCTAGGCGTCAGGTTCGACCCCCAATTATCCTTCCTCCCCCACATCCAGTTCCTCACCAGCAGTGCCTTCTACCACCTCCGACGCATTGCCCGTCTCCGCCAATACCTCTCCCCAAAAGCCGCTGAAACCTTGGTCCATGCCTTTGTCACCTCTCGGCTGGACTACTCCAACGCCCTCCTCAACAACAACAAGATTGCATTTATAGAGCGCCTTTCACGTTGGGAGGACGTCCCAAGGCGCTGGACAGTTGGGTCGGGACCCGAGCAGGGGGGAAATGGTCAGGGTGAGGGGAGGGAAGGGAGGGAGCGAGGAGGGGGTAGAATGTCAAGAGGGGAGCTGAAGGCACGTTTGAAGATTTTCCATCGACTAACATCCATAAAATCCAAATCATTCAAAACTCTGCTGCCCGCGTTCTCACCCGCACAAAACTCCACTCCCTGATCACCTCAGTCCTTGCCAGACTGCACTGGCTGCCTATCCCAGAAAGGATCGATTTCAAGATCCTCACCCTTGTATTCAAATCCCTGCACTCCTCTGCACCCCCCAACCTCTCTGACCTCCTCTCGCCTCAAAACAGTACCCGTTGCCTTCGTTCCTCCGGGTCTGGCCTCCTCCTTGTCCCCCGAGTCCTCCGCTCCACCCTCGGCGGCCGTGCCTTCAGCCACTATGCCCCGAGGCTCTGGAACTGCCTTCCTCACTCCCTTCGTCTCGCTCCCTCCCTTCCCATTTTCAGGTCTCTGCTGAAGACCTTTCTCTTCGACCGCGCCTTTGGTTACCTTCCTCCCCCTCCCCCCGGCTCGGCCCCGGGATCCGTTACTGTAAAGCGCTCTGAGACGCCGTCCGGCGTGGAGGGCGCTATATAAATCCAAGTTGTTGTTGGTGATGAGGCTGGTGCAAGGCGGTTAGCAGGCTGGTGGGCAGGGAAGCCTGTGGCAGCGAGTCTCGTGGGTGGCGGTGGCTATGAGAAAGGCTGAAGCGGGGAGGGAGGCAGCCTCTCCTGGGGGGGGGGGGGGGTGTTGGTAGGCGACCACATATAATAATAATCCTTGCATTCGGTAATATAGTGTGAGCACATCAAGCGGACGTTTAAAAGCGCTTCACAGGACACAGAGCAAAGTGCAGTGACTGTGTATTCTGTGGACTGAACACAGCAGCCATTTTGCTCACAGTCATGCATGTCCCGCAGACAGCCCGGCACTGACGCTGTACCTTGGGTCCATCTGCGGAAGATTGTGTCGCCGAGCTCGTTGCCGGGCCGCCGCCCCCACACCAGCTCGGACAGCTCGATGTTGTACATGACTGTCCGCGGCCTCGGGCCCCGCCTCAGCCTCTCGCCACCAACACATCCGGCAGAGGCCGCGGCGCCGGAAGTGCTGGGCCAGCTTGAGCGCATGCGCGGTCGCCCGCGACCACGATCGCGCGTGCGCAGAGCGGGCTGGCGGCTCCCCCAGGCTGGGGCGGCCCAGCAGTGTTGGCTGCTGTCAGTCAGGGCGCACCGTCTGAGGGTAGATTTTTTGAAATAAAATATGGCTTTCACGTGTTTTAAAGTTATACGCAGTGTATTTTCTGATTGCTGACCTCACACAGGACTTCCTCCTTTTTTATCTCAAAAAATCTCAATTGCTTCTCGAATGTGGACATTTACAACAGTTTGCATTTACAGTCACTCCACTTTACAATATATTCTGTGAAGCTCTCTGAGACGTCTCCACAGCGGGATAAGCCACTAACTGTATCACATGCAAGGATTATTATTTTATATGTTATATAGTGGCCATCACGCAAGTAGCATCACAGAGCGCTGCTGGATCTTATCAGGTGGATCTGGCTGCTACCTTCTAACCCTAATTCCCTCATTCTTTCCCTGTACACTTTTACATTCTCTTTGAATGTTTACCGAGTTCCCCTTTATATTGTGTTCTCAACCTCAAATGATCAGTATCATCTTGTGATGAAGCATCCTCTAATAATAATCCTTGCATTTGATATAGCGCAAATATTGTGGGTGAATGTATGTTCTTGTAGTGTAATTTTGTATGGAGCTCCAGTTGATGTGTTCACACCATGTAGTCTTGGGAGTCTCATACCTCTATTTGCTTGTTTTACTCAAAAAAACAGAATAGTTGCTCAACTACAAGATTGCTTCTGTGTTTGACTAGATTCCTAATTTTGTGTGCTTACAAAAAACCATTTGTTATTACTTTAAAAGTTAACCGAGTCTCTTTCATACTCTCTTTTAGTCTCTATAAACCTTCGTTATATTTTAACATTTAAACTTTTAATTTTAATCATAATTTTCCTTTTATTCAATTTGTTGTGTGTTATTTGTTTAAATCAGTTTTGTTCTCTCAAATGCAGTATAGTGTATATATTAGAATATCATAAAATGCTTTGCAATTCTGAAGAATCCCCGCTGCCGGCTGACTCAGTCTGGTTGTCAGAAGATGTTGGGGACAGTCACAATAGTTTTCTTGTATCCTTCACGGGGACGATGCAACCTCTGCTTCGTGCTTCCCATTTGGTGCAATCTTTTGCTCTTTTGCTTTGCTTTCCAACTCTCCTCAAACAACTCAGAGGATCTCGCACGCCTGATCCTGGGGCTGCTCGCAATCCGACATTTAGCAATGATCTCGGGGACTATTCACCTGAACATGTTCTCTCCCCTTTGCGGTTCTTTCCCGTTCACTCACTTCTGCAGCGAGTGAGCAATGGAGACGGTGCGATCCCAGCATGCATAGCGGGAGTGAAAGTGCCCTATCAACCACAGAGCAAAGGCGGGGGGGGCACAGGAGGCCACTGGTGTTGAAAGGTATTAAACACTAATCGCCTTTTAATCTATTTAAAGAATACAAATATTGCGTGCAAGGGCGTGAGATAGATGAATGGCGGCTGTGTGTGGCGGGGAAGATGAATCATATATATTTGTACTTTAGTTCAGTGACATCAGAATTTCGAAACCAGAGCAGAATCGGAATCGCGACTCGGGACTGATGTTTGTCCGCGTGGGGAGTCCGTAGAGGAGCAGCTGATGTGTCAGTGCACATGGCCGGACAGAGCCGAGGGCGGCGCTCCCGGGCGTCTGGTGAGCGGTCGGCGGCAGCTCACAGTGCGGTGTCATGTGTGTCTCATCCCGAGGACCGCATTGCCGACAATGCAGGTCCCCCCCTCCCCGGAGCGGAGCCCTCCCCCCCCCTCCCCCCCACCCCCTCAGCACTCCCCCCCTCCCCCCCCAGCACCCCCCCCTCCCCAGCTCTCCCCCCCCTCCCCGGAGCGGAGCACTCCCCCCTCCACCCTCCCCCCCTCCTCCCCAGCTCTCCCCCCCTCCCCCCCAGCCCTCCCCCTCCCCGGAGCGGAGCACTCCCCCCCCCTCCCTCCCCAGCTCTCCCCCCCCCCCCAGCCCTCCCCCCTCCCAGCACTCCCCCCTCCCCCCCCAGCACTCCCCCTCCCCAGCTCTCCCCCCCCTCCCCGGAGCGGAGCACTCCCCCCCCCCTCCCAGCACTCCCCCCTCCCCCCCCAGCACTCCCCCCTCCCCAGCTCTCCCCCCCTCCCCGGAGCGGAGCCCTCCCCACCCTCCCAGCACTCCCCCCCTCCCCCCCCAGCACTCCCCTCCCCAGCTCTCCCCCCTCCCCGGAGCGGAGCACTCCCCCCCCCTCCCAGCACTCCCCCCCTCCCCCCCCAGCACTCCCCCTCCCCAGCTCTCCCCCCCTCCCCGGAGCGGAGCACTCCCCCCTCCACCCCAGCTCTCCCCCCCTCCCCCCTCCCCAGCCCTCCCCCCTCCCCGGAGCGGAGCACTCCCCCCCCCAGCTCTCCCCCCCCTCCCCCCCCAGCACCCCCCTCCCCAGCTCTCCCCCCTCCCCGGAGCGGAGCACTCCCCCCCCAGCCCTCCCCCCCCTCCCCCCCCAGCACCCCCCTCCCCAGCTCTCCCCCCCTCCCCGGAGCGGAGCACTCCCCCCCCAGCCCTCCCCCCCCTCCCCCCCCAGCGCCCTCCCCCCCCAGCCCTCCCCCCAGCCCCCTCCCCAGCCCTCCTCCCCAGCCCTCCCCCCTCCCCAGCTCTCCCCCCCCTCCCCAGCTGTGTTGGGAGCACTCACCCCCCCCCTCCCCAGCTGTGTTGGGAGCACACACCCCCACCAGCTGTGCTGCAGCGCTGCATTGCTGGAGTTGCTATCCTTAAGGCTTTAAAACTGGGCACCTGAGTTACATGAGTCTCAGCTTGAGCTCTCACACGTGTGTGTGTGTGTGTGTGTGTGTGGAGGTGGTGGGAGGGGGGGCTGGAATAATAATGTGTTTGACCTAGTGTGTGAACAAGGTGTTTACTCGCGGAAAGATCTGCCCTGACTTTTCTGTTCAAGTGTAGCAGTGACGGGACATGCTCAACACTATTGATTTACTTTAAGAGTTATTAAAGTCTAGAGTACGTGAGTGCAGAGTGAGCCTAAGATGCACAACACTTAACGTGGAATCACTGCAAACTTTTAGCAAAACTGCTTTGTGTTGCTTATGATCAATGTTGTACAACAACAACAAATTACATTTGTATAGTGCCTTTCAAGTCGTGACAACGTCCCAACCTACTGGACTGTTAGGGATTTACAATATATCCCTGCTGGAAAATACAGTGCATCATTTAAAATTGGTCTGTTCAGCCATTTAAAGATTTCACAGCATTATTCAACACTATGGTGTTCTGTCTTAAGTCCTTTAGATAAAATTGGCCATTCTCTTCATGGCTGTTTGTGCAACATTCAGACTGATGCAATTGGTAGCACTCTTGCCTCTGGGTCAGAAGGTTTTCAGTTCAAGCTGCATATCAGGACTTGGGACTGTTGGCGGCATCCTTCAGATGAGGGGTTAAACCAAGGACCTTTTTGTCTGTTCAGATGGGTATTAAAGATCCTGTGGCACTACTTGAAAAGAGAAAGTAGTTTATCCCAGTGTTCATACCAACAATCCCACAAATAAAATTAGTCATTCTCTTGGTGGCTGTCTGTGGGACAGTGCTGCGTGCAAATTGACTTCTGCATTCACCCACAAAATACACACACTCCACTTTATGGAATATTCTGTGAAGTGCTTTGAGACATCCTCATGACGTGAAAGGCTCTCTATCAAATGTAAGTATTATTCTTGTGTGCAAATTGGCTGCCGCATACGACAATAAATGCACACTCCCTACACTTGATAGTAAATCCTGTAATAGTAAATATTTACTAAATAGTAAATACTCTCAGATGTTTTGGCGATGCGGTAAGGAGGTATATCAAATGCAAGGATTATTATTAGTATTATTAGTAATACTGGTGGTGAGCACATTTTTGTTCTTGACTAACTTTCTCCTGCAGCTCACCTGAAGTCACAGATTCTTACTGGAATATGGTTCCGTTGTGCAAATCAAGGTGTCAGGCAGGCTCAGTCTTGCCTCTGAGTCAGAAAGCTGCATGTACAAATGCTACGTAGTTCAGGCTTACGCTGCTGGCCGTGCCATCCTGTAGATGAGATATTAAACTGAGGTTCTGTCTGCATGTTTGGGTAGACATGTAAGATCCTATAGCAGTATTTGAAAACAGAAGGAAGTTTTTCTTGGTGTCCTGGCCAACAACCCTCCAACTAAATTGGTCACTCACTTTATAGTTGCTTGTGGAATTGTACAAATTGACTACACATACATTCGCTTACACATACACAGTTAACTACTCTTGATAGTAACTATCTGTGAAATGGTTTGAGATGTTTCAACTTATAGGAGGCACTGGGCAAGGATTAGTAATTATGATTGTGGAGTGATGGGGGAACTGGTTCAGTCACCAGCACCTCAAAGTACATAGCCTGTTCATTTCATGTTCGATCTGTGACAATGCACGGACTCCATAGCTTAAGCTCTGTGTTTCTTTTCTTGAGATCTGTGCTTTTGTATTACAGGATTTGAAATGGCTGGTTTAAGTGCTCAAGACAGGATGCGCCAGAAAATGGAGAAAAAAGCCAAGAAAAAAACAGAAGCAAAGTATTCTGTACAACAGTTGCTGGAAAAAGTAAGTTGCTTTCAAAGTTTGAAGAAAATAGTTTTAAAAAAACTAAATTATCCTCCCTGAAATTTACTATTAGTTAAACATTAGCATAAGAGGTATATATTTGAAATCTGAAGTTGCTTGGCTCAGTTGATAGCATTCTCGACTCTTTGGTAGAAGGTTGTGAGTTGAAGCCCCATGTCAGGAATTGGAACTCATATAGTCTGAACTGACGATCGAGTGCAGGGCTGGGGGTGTGGGGGGTGCCATCCTTCGAATACACGATTAATCCACTTTACAATATATTTTGTGAAGTGCTTTGAGATGTTTCAACCACGTGATAAGGCACTATATCAAATGCAAGGATTATTATTATTATCTCAGGGATAAAATTGGTCATTCACTTCATGGGCTGTTGTGTTGCCTGCAAAATATACAGTCACTAACTTTACAGTAAATCTTGTGAAATGTTTTGAGGCATCCTCCTGATGTGAAATTGCTATATGAAAAACAAAGTTTATTTAAGATTATTTTTATACTCTGCACTTTGGGTGGCCTGTCTCTGGCCTCGGAAAAATAATAATCTATATAAAAAATATAGCACCGTTCACATTGCGAGGACGTCTCAAAGTGCTTTACAGGATATATTCAAGAATAGTAACCATTTTGTGGGCAAATGCGGCAGCCAATTTACGCACAACATGCCCTACAAACAGCCATGAAATGAATGACCAATTTTATTTGGAGGATTGGAGGACAGACAGAAAATAATTGAGCCAGTTGTTGGCTAAGATTGGAACTTTCGTTGCGTAGAGATTTGTAGTTGTGAATCTTTTGCCCGGCACTGGATCACCCTACCTTTTTTGCTTGTATTTCTCTCTATTGTGGACAGCGCCCATCATTTGCTTCATTCTTCCCTGCAGTAGAGCTTCTGTGAACAGAGTGTGGAAGATTCTCTGTTCCAGTACCTGATGCAATTTTTACACGATTCAGTGATTGTTTTATTGTAGATTCTGGTAGAACTGTATAAACGTACCAAGATTCTAGTTGCTCACAAATCTACCTTTTTGTTTGAAAAAGATGTACATTGCTAAATTTGTCTCTCTTTCCAGGCAGAAGATTGTATGGACAACTTCAATTTCGAACTGGCACAAATGTTCTGCCAACGAGCGCTTGATTTGGAACCTGATAACATTACTGTCCTTGAGATGATGGGCAACATCTTTGCAGAGCTTGGAAACTCGGAAAAAGCAAAAGAGATATCCTTTTATGTTGAGCTGTCCTGTTACTTGGTTGACTTTGCTATACTTTTCTTTCAATTATAATAGTTAATTTTTAAGAGAGATGTGGGAAATTGCATAGACTGTACAGCACACAAACAGACCATTAATCTCAAGTGCTGGTGTTCATGCTGCGCAGCAATCCCCACTCCTAATCCCCTTGTCCTATCTGTCTCTCACACTCCTCTATTCTCTGTCCCTCATGAAATGGCATTGAGTTGCCATAATTTGTCTAAGGATTGGTATATAGAGAATCAAAACTATAATGTGCAATAAACTATTTTTTACTAATTAAAGGGGTTGAATTTTTAAAAAAAAAATGGGTTTGTTATTTATAATATAATAATACTTGCATTTTGATATAGCGCTTTTCACATCTTCTCAACGTCTCAAAGCGCTTCACAGAGTAGATTGTAAAGTGAATTGACTGTATATTTGTGGGCGAAACACGGCAGCCAATTGCGCACAGCAGTGTCCCACAAACAATCGTGGATTGAAAATGACCAATTTATTATTGTTTTGTTTTTTGGAGGATTATTATTAGGAGTGTGGAGTAAGGAAACTTGCCCAATGTTTCGCCCTGCCTGGAATTGAACCCAGGTGTCTCGCTTGCAAAGCAAGTGCTCTAACCACTGAGCAACAAGACTCCACTATTTATAATGTGCAATAATGACAAATATTGCCAAAAAATACCAGAAAGGAGAGATTCCAGTTAAAGCTAGGTTTATTTCATTGATGTTGGATATTTTTGTAATATTGGGGACATTTTGTAATAATTTACCAGTACACTCCTGTTCTTTTTTAAACAAATACCTTGACTGCAGTGAAAGTGTTTCAGCGATCTGTGGAGCTACGGCCTGAAGAAGGCCACGCCAAGTACATGTATTTGGGTCAGATCCACGGTGGCGAGGAGGCAGTGCAGTACTTCAGAAAAGGAACAGAGCTCATGATCCGAGAATACCAAAAGCAGAAAGAACTGGTGAGTAAGTTATCTGCTAAGAACCACCTGTTTTTAAAATTAATGCTGGTTTGATCTGGCGTAACAAAACCTTCAATTTGCATAATTCTCCCAACTGATGTTATTTTTAGTTCAATATTTTTTTTCCTGCCTTGCCAGCTTTCTCCTTACCTTTTTTAAAAGTGTCTGATTACTTTACTTTTTCTACCGCTGTACAGTTCTATAGGATGAGACATGATGGTAAGCGTTGGAAGATTATGATCACGTGGAGGTTGTATCCCATCTTAGTCCAATGTTGTCCTCATCCAAGTCCACACACACACGGTTGGTTTTCCCTTCCTGAACATGGGGTGCTCAGGCCAATTCAAGCTTCCCTTCTGCTACTGTTCAAATCAATTTACTGTCTGGCACCTCCCCACCTCTCTGACTTTTCACTCCCCAATCCACCACCCGGCACCTCCACTCAACTGGCACTGGCTCCTGCTCATCCCTCGCACCATCCACCCCACTATCGGAGGTCGCGCTTTCAGCCACTACAGCCCGAAACTCTGTAACACTCTCCCTCAATCCCTCCTCCTTACCCCCTTTCTCCCGGCCACCTCCCCGCCCCCCCCCCCACCCGCCCCAAGAGGGCGCTATATAAGTGTAAGTTGTTGTTGTACTGAATTCAGGGATCTTTCCAATTGGTAAAGCTCCTAGTCTTTGGGGCTTCCCGGTGAAAGACTTTTGAACAATCAACTCTCGTTGGTGTAACCTCATGCTGTCCAGTTTCACACTAAAACATCGGGTCAACTCAGAGTTGTTTCTTGTCTACTGCGAATGTACAAAGTGTGAACTGGCATTGGTGATGACCTGGAAGTTGGTCAATTTCTAGCTAAAGATGACCAACTTCTGGCTAATTAGGATGTAGCTGATGTCACTTTCTGTTTGCTGCACATGTCAACAGCAATTTGATGAATTGGATATTGGGTCATTTTAATACGAAAAGCTGGCTGGCACATGGGATGTGAGTAGGCCAGTTAAATGCATGCACAATGAATGGGATTCACAGTGCTACGCTTTACAAACTTCATCGAAATAAAGGTTATGCACTCAATAAAAAGCAGTTATTATTATTATAATCTCTTTTTACTGAAATTCTATCAGTGCGCTGTATGCACCATGTGTTATTCTTAGCTAAAAGGATATCATTTTAAAACATTAGCATGCCTGGCAATACACTGATTTTGAACGTTTTCCGTAATCTTCTCTGTCAGCACTTGATGCTAACTGTTTGAAGTGGTTTACATAACCCCCATAAACGATTGGAGGAGAGGTGAGGCATTTTTAAAAGCAACCTGAACAAACCACAGCTGTGTTTTGTTTGGTGCTGAAAGTTGCTCTCACAGGAGCAATGTTGCCTCCTTTTGCGATGTTATTACAGCAGATTTATGAGCAAGTGGTTTGAGAAATTCTTTGTGCAGCATGTTTAAAACATTATAACCCAGGAATCCTTCACCTTGTTTTTGGACAGGTCACTCAGGCAGCAGCTTGTGACCCTGATAATCTTGAGGTGACTTCGCAAAACATCTCCACAGCTTTTTGTTCGGTGGCTGAGATTTTCCTTACTGACCTCTGGTAAAGTATGTTGCTTTAAGGGCTGCATTCTCCCATGATCTTCATAAAAACCATGACCTTGAAATAACACAGAAATTATTTAGACGTAATAAAAGCTTTTTATTTAGCATGTCAGATTGTGTCCATTGATAATCAAGGCAGTGAAACTATCATGTGAGTACAGAAGAGCCACTTTCATTATTTTTATTAAAGGTTTATTCTCTAGCNAAAAAAACCTATCCAGTCTTTCCTGATAGTAGTAACCCTGGTATAATAATAATAATAAACCTTGCATTTGATATAGTGCCTTATCATGTCTTTGAGATGTCTCAAAGCGCTTCACAGAATACACTGTAAAATGAATTGACTGTATATTTTGTGGGTGAAACACAGTAGCCAATTGCGTTCAGCAGTGGATTGGTGACCAATTTTTAAAATTATTTAATAATAATAGTAATAATGATGATAATCCTTACATTTGATATAGCCCGTCTCACATTGGGAGGACATCTCAAAGATGCTTCACAAGATTCACTGTAAAATGCAATGACTGTATTTTGTGGGCAAATGCAACATACACACAGCAGTGTTCCCACAAACAGCTACGTACGTAGTGAATGACCAGTATTAACGGGGGGTTTGTTTGCCAGGACATCAGGAGAAATTCCTCTCTTTTCAAATAATGCCATGGGATCTTTAATGTCCACCTGAACAGACAGACAGGACCTCAGTTTAACCAAGCAGTACTCTCCCAGTACATCACCCTTAATTCTCTTCCTATCTGCCCTTTGTGTTTTTACTCCCAGTGTGGACAGCATTGTTACAGTTCTGAATATAATACAATTTATGCAGTGTTTTTTTTTAAAATAACACATCTTAAAATGATTTTTAGGAACTTGTTATTTTAATGTGTACTCTTGAAATAGCTTCATCTTTCCTAGATATTTTCTACCTTAATATTAATGATAGAGTTCCTCAGAATTGTAGCCAAGGAATTCTAATATTTTATGCATGTTTTCAGAATTGTGTGTTGTGCGCCTGTGATTATTTGGGAAATGAATTTTCAGCTGATTCCCATATCAGAAACAGGATATTATACTGTTTTTCAGCATATTAATATAAAGTTATTGAAATGTCTAATTGTTGCAGCTGTAACTCAAATCAACTGGGTGAAGCATTTATGGAGAATAAGGCTTGTTTGAAAAGCGCAAGGGAGTTTCTTCCAGTGTTCTGGTCAACAGTCCTCCAGATTAATTGAACATTTACCTCATGGCTGCTTGTGGGATCTTGCTGATTCAAATGGCTGACACATTTGCCTACAACACTTGACAGTAATTGCCTGTGAAGGGCTTTGAGACCTTTCAAAGTGAAGGAGAATTATAAAAATGTAAAGTTTGATCTTCAACTAAAAAAAAAAACTATCCTTTCCAATAATGTAATGCCTGGTGTCTTCCAAGTTTGCTATGTTCATGCATCAGTGACCATCCAAGACATTTCATGCATTGAGCCCAGCCCACCATGTACTCTCTAAACTTGATACGAACATTTTGTGTCATGACAATCTTTTTCTGACTCTTGGGGATTGCTGTAGCATGTAGCAGATATTCCTTTTTTCTAACTCACCTCCCCCTTTCCTTTACCTTGGCGGCTGTGTAAAGCAGCTGAAGAAATGAATGCATGGGGTGAGAGAAAGCAAATTTCCTATTGGAAATTACTTTGCAAATATATATAGGTTTATTTGACCAGATGTTTTTGCAGGTGAGCTTGTACTATGAAGTAGTGTTAGTAATATAAATATTGCTGAGAGAAAGATGGTACATGCAGCGTATAGTGACTGCTGTTTCCTGGAAATAGTCTGAATATATAGGATTCCTTCATAAATGTTCAGTGATTGTTTCATCATCTTCCATTTGGGAACAGGACCTCACAATCTAGGCCAGCGTGGTCCAACACGTGGCACGAGCACTGACAGTGACCTGGCGGGTGATTTTATGTGGTCCGCGACCATTTCCACTATTCCAACTTCCACTCCCAGGAGCCGGGGGTTGGGAGGACACAGCGCTCAGAACCTTTGTTGCAGTCTGTCGTTAAAGCAAGCGCATCTCTTACCAACCGTGTCATTAGCAACCGACTGCGGGCTTCTGCTACAGCAGATGGTGACCCGTGCTTTGGGGGAGGGAGGGGGAGAGTGGGTGGAGAGAGGGTGGGTGGAGAGAGAGACGTGGGGGTGGAGAGAGAGACGGGGGGGGGGCGGAGAGAGACGGGGGGGGCGGAGAGAGAGACGGGGGGGGGGGGGGGGGCGGAGGAGAGACGGGGGGGGCGGAGGGAGAGACGGGGGGGGACGGAGGGAGAGACGGGGGGGACGGAGGAGAGACGGGGGGGGCGGAGGAGAGACGGGGGGGGGGCGGAGAGAGAGACGGGGGGGGGCGGAGAGAGAGACGGGGGGGGGCGGAGAGAGAGACGGGGGGGGGGCGGAGAGAGAGACGGGGGGGCGGAGAGAGAGACGGGGGGGGCGGAGAGAGAGACGGGGGGGGGCGGAGAGAGAGACGGGGGGGGGCGGAGAGAGAGACGGGGGGGGCGGAGAGAGAGACGGGGGGGGCGGAGAGAGAGGGGGGGGGGGGCGGAGAGAGAGACGGGGGGGGGGCGGAGAGAGAGACGGGGGGGCGGGCGGAGAGAGAGACGGGGGGGGCGGGGCGGAGAGAGAGACGGGGGGGGCGGGGCGGAGAGAGAGACGGGGGGGGCGGAGAGAGAGACGGGGGGGGCGGAGAGAGAGACGGGGGGGCGGGGCGGAGAGAGAGACGGGGGGGCGGGGCGGAGAGAGAGACGGGGGGGCGGGGCGGAGAGAGAGACGGGGGGGGCGGAGAGAGAGACGGGGGGGGGCGGAGAGAGAGACGGGGGGGGGCGGAGAGAGAGACGGGGGGGGGCGGAGAGAGGGACGGGGGGGGCGGAGAGAGGGACGGGGGGCGGAGAGAGGGACGGGGGGGGTGCGGAGAGAGGGACGGGGGGGGGGGGGTGCGGAGAGAGGGACGGGGGGGGTGCGGAGAGAGGGACGGGGGGGGGGTGCGGAGAGAGGGACGGGGGGGGGGTGCGGAGAGAGGGACGGGGGGGGTGCGGAGAGAGACGGGGGGGGGGTGCGGAGAGAGACGGGGGGGGGTGCAGAGGGAGACGGGGGGGGGTGCAGAGGGAGACGGGGGGGGGGGTGTGCGCAGAGGGAGACGGGGGGGGGGTGTGCGCAGAGAGAGACGGGGGGGGGGGGTGCGCAGAGAGAGACGGGGGGGGGGGAGAGAGACGGGGGGGGGGAGAGAGACGGGGGGGGGGAGAGAGACGGGGGGGGGGGGAGAGAGTCGGGGGGGGGTGGGGGGAGAGACGGACGGGGGGGTGGGGGGAGAGAGGAGGGTGGGGGGAGAGAGGGAGGGTGGGGGGAGAGAGGGAGGGTGGGGGGAGGGCGAGAGAGAAGAGGGGGGAGAGAGAGAAAGGGGGAGAGAGTGGGGGTGGCGAGAGAGAGTGGGGAGAGAGTGGGGGGGCGAGAGAGAGTGGGGAGAGAGTGGGGGGGCGAGAGAGAGTGGGGAGAGAGTGGGGGAGCGAGAGAGAGTGGGGAGAGAGTGGGGGGGCGAGAGAGAGTGGGGGGGAGAGAGAGGTAGTGGGGGAGAGAGAGCAGGGAAAGAGGAGGGCACTTCTCCTGGTGTTTCTGCCAACAGTCCTTTAGCTGAGACTGGCCATTCACTTCATTGCTGTTTGTGGGACATTGCTGCGCACAAATTGTTCACCTACAAAATGTTCAGTTAGTATTCTAGGTTCAGATTTGTCTCACATTTCCCTGTAGGTGCCCTTTGACGCATCTCTTTTCAAAACTTGTACTATCTATATCCCATTAAATCTATTGTCAGCAAAAAGAGCAAAGTATGGAACAAAATTGCACCTGCAAACTGCAGGCTGTGCCAAAAAATAACATGTATTGAAGTGATATCAAAGCAATAATACGCTTGGGTTCAGACATCTGTTCTAAACCACTGAAGCCTTGCTGACTTGGCTTAATGACTTCTGAAATCACCGCCTTGTAAAGAGACTCTTGCATTTGTGTTTTCTGTACAAATAAGTAGTTCTAGACCTTTGAAGCAATTTAATAAGTTATTTTAAAATGGCTCCTGTTCGGAGAGCATTCTCAAGACTTCCCTTCATAAGTGCATGGCTATCATTTTCTCTGTGCTAAAAGTGAGAGAAAGCTCAAACTTTTCAGAGTACAATTTAAAATATACCTTTGTTTAGTTTTACATACAGTTGTAGAATAAAGTTATCCATATCCAGTATATTGCTTGTTTTCATTAAATAATTTGTATTCTCCATAGTGATATATTGATACTTTCCTCTGTCAAATTCATCTGGCCTGATTAAATTAAAATAAGTTGTTTTGCAAAAACTATAACCACAGCTTGATTGGATTGGCAAAAATGACAAATATCTATGGTGAAGATGATTTGTTAATTTCAGAACGAAGTTGCAACCAATGCTATTAATTTACACTGAATACACCAATTCAAGTTTAATGATTCTTTTTGTTTGTTTATACAAATGTAATTTGTTGTTATATTGTTGTTATTTGTTGTTTGTCACTTATTATTACTGTCTATTTAACCTTGGAAGTGTTCCTAAATTCAACTGAGCAGAGATAAAAATACTGTGTATATATAATAATCGTTGCATTTGATAAAGCACCTTATCACATCTTCGAGATGTCTCAAAGCGCTTCACAGAAGATACTGTAAAGTGAATTGACTGTATATTTTGTGGGTAAAATATATAATATGTTTGATAGAATCAATGTGTTCACAAGTGTCAAACATCGGGACTTGAACTCACATAGTCTAACCTGCCACTCCAACGCATGTCGGGGGGCTGTTGCATTATCAAAGGTGCCGTCTTTCAGATGAAACATTAAACTGAGGTCCAGTCTGCTTGTTCAGGTGCACATTAAAGATCCCATGGCACTATTCGAAAAGAGATGGAGTTTCTCCCCGTATCCCTCCTTGTGTCATGGTTAACAATCCCCTAGATATATTGGTTATTGACTTCCTGGTTGTTTGTTGGATACTGCAGTAAACATGTTGGCTGCTGCATTCACTGATAAATACTTATAATAATCCTTGCATTTGATATAGCGCTTTTCACGTCGGGAGGACGTCCCAAAGCGCTTCACAGAACACACTGTAAAGTGAATTGACTGTATATTTGTGGGCGAACGCGGCAGCCAATTGCACACAGCAATGTCCCACAAACAGTCGTGGATTGAAAATGACCAATTTATTATTGGGGTTTTTTTGGTTTTGGAGGGATTATTATTAGGTGTGTGGAGTAAGGAAACTTGCCCAAGGTTTCCCTGCCTGGAATTGAACTCAGGTGTCTCGTTTGCAAGGCGAGTGCTCTAACCACTGAGCTACAGAACTCCACACTTGACCGCAATTACCTATCGAGCCCTTTTAAGACGTTTCACAATAGATGTTATATTAATTGCTATTGTTATAATTATTTATTATAAGCTTCAAAAATTGCTGAATGTCTATATCAGTGGACTTCACAAGATTGGACCAGCATAAATGTCCCTAGTTTTGCACTGAATGTCTGCCTTGAACTAGGATATTGACTGGTATCAAGTGGCTGATCAATACCAATGCTACATGGCAGAAGAAATACTAGTTTTTGAAACTAATTGAACTTCCTATTTAAGACAGTTTCTTGAGTTGTTTGTTTGTGTTGCATTTTGAATTAAGAGTACTTTTTTCTTCTGCACAATTCTCAAAAGAGTCTTTCATTTTACTGGATGTCCAGGTGCAGTAAATTGGATGTTGTTGAGCCTCATTGATCCACAAACTTCTATTGCTTGTGAAATTAATCCAATAATTTCTCAGTCATTTTGTTATAACATGTGCTTGCTAGTTTTTCTTGTTTTGTGGGGGGAGGAGGTGTCAAGTGCAGGAAAGAAAATATCCAATGCAGGTAAGGTAGGGTAAATCTGAGGCCAGTAACAAAGAGCAAAGACAGAAATTTATGAAAGAAAAAAGGTGATTGGAAAAATCAAGGTGAAGCAGCAACTGAGGAGTGTAAGTTATAAATATACAATAACCTTACATTTTTCTGTATGTCACCCAGGGCAGGACTGGAGGGAGCACTGCATTGAAAGAAGCCTTTAGATGCAGAGTTAAACCGAGGTCCAGTCTATTGCCTGTTCAGGTGGACCTTAAAGATTGCATTGGCACCACTTGAAAGGAGGAGAGAGTTTCTCCTGAGATTCTGGCCAACAATCACCCTAATAAAATTGGTTATTCACTTCATGGCTGTTTGTGAGACACTGTTGTGTCCCATTTGGCTGCTGTGTTTGCCTATGAATACAGTCTGTACATACTACAGTGAATCTTGTGAAGGGCATTAAGACGCCTTGCTGACGTGATAAGGAGCTATAATCAAATTCAAGGATTGTTTTGATGAGACACAAGTATGTAAGCAGATTTATTTCTAGTTTGATGTGTGTATGAGAATGGCAAAACACCAGTGAATGTGAAATGTAGGACGTTTATTTATGATAAAGATTATTCATTTTTAAAAATCTAGCTAGTAAGTTTTAAGCACAAAGTCTAGAAAGTCTCCTGCTGCTTGTCCAGCAACCCATTTGGACTTTGGCTTGTGGGGTTAATAGGAGCTGAGTGGGAAGAATCACTGCGCTCCCTATCCTTCCCAATTCAGGCCATCAAGCTAGCTGGCTGCTAAACTAAGTTTCGCAGTTTGGTTGTTCAGAGGGAATGTTTTACCGAAATAAAAACAATGGAAATACAAGTCAATCAGCACCTGAGAGAAAGACAGGTTAATGTTTAGAGTCTGGTTCCTCGTGAAAATTTGGCTATGATTCTAATGTAGGGTCACACTCTTAAGTGTTATCCTCTCTCTTTCAGATGTTATACGTTTGCAACATTTTCTGTTTTTCTGTCATTTTTCTGGCAAGTCACAAGCTTTCTTCTCTTTGGAACGGTCGCTGTGAGCTTTGGGCAGCAGGGGGAGCACTAGTACCATGAGTCATACTCATAGCTTCTTTAATTTCCTGTTTTTAACGACATGGTAATAGATGGGAAAGGGGCGAATTGGAAGCCAGTTGTTGTGATTGATGAATTTATATGACTCTAGTGGTAATATATTACACAGATAGCAGGATATTTAATCCTAGAAATTGCATAGAATTACATAGAATATTACAGCAAGTAATAGACCATTCGGCAAGTGTTCATACTCCATGTGGACCTCCACCCCTTCTATTCCCTTCACAAATGCCCCTCTATTACCTTCTCCCTCATGTATAATTTTCTTGATTGAGTATTGCGAACAACACACGGATTGAACACAGACATAGCTGGACTAGAGCGAATGTTCCGAGTGCTGCTTATTGATGGCCCTCTGCACCAGAACCGTCCTGCTGGCTGTAGTTTGGCCAGCACTGGTTTAGATGGTAGAAAAACTACCCATTTGTCAGTAAAATGTTTAGTGGTTCAGTGGCCTAATTGTTCTGAGATGTTATCTTGCGTGAAGGGCGCTATATAAATGCAAGTTGTTGTGGCTTGCGTTTATACAAACCAATGCATGCTTGTTTTTATTTTTACAGTTTGGAGGAGGGAGCCGCAGATAATTGTAAAGAAGCCCTTGAAAAGGCCTTAGAGTATGATCCTAGCAACCCTGAAGCCTTGCAGTTGATGGCCAGTTATCTCTTTAGTACAGAACAGCAGCAGGTATGGAAATTTCTCCTTTATTAATTCTTTCAGCAGAACCAGTCATCTCTGTTCCGCTGTCACCAAAGTTTCTTGCTGGAACAATTAGATTTGATGAGTTGAATCTCCATTGAAATGTGCATCCATTATTGCTGCATCTATTATGGTGTTGTTGTGGGCACTTTTTTAAGGTTCCACTATTGTCTTAACAAGAGCTTTGTGCACGTTATGAAGTTTCTGCATCCCCTGTTAACAACAACAACAACAAATTACGTTTGTAAAACACCTTCCTAATCTAGGTGGTTGGGGATTAGATGGTTATCCAGAGGTGTAAATTGTACCTTTGTGATTAGTTAGTTGGTTATTAATGAAAAGGGAAAAACCCATGAAGTGTAACTACACTGTCTTCTTGTCTTGTTAAATCCATCTTCCAGCTGAAGTACCTGAAATGTAGAGTAATTACTCTTGTGTAACATTAAAATTGCTTTTTGTACATTATACATAGTCACTGCGAGTTCATATTAATGGGTTTATATAAACTACCTTACAATTGAAACCCTTGAGATTTTTTTGAGAACAATTAACAGTCTTGGCTCCTCAGGGAGCATTGCTTAAAAGTGTGTTCAGAGATGATACACAATTTTTTTGTAACATGTGTATCTTAATAGTAAGAAGTTTTTAATTAATTAAAATTTAGTATTGTATGTAATCGGAGCTAAGTGTACAATTTCAGCAATATTTCTTGGATCATTGCTCTACTATAATTGTGTATGGTGTGTTGTGTTTGTTTATTTGTATGTTATGCACAGGAAGTGCCTGCAAAGAAAATCCAATGCAGATAAGTGAAGTTAATGAGGATGGTCTAGTTCTTGTCAAGAACACCTTCTGCAGCAATACAGCTATGTTGGGAGGCCACCAGTCATCTATAAGTTTATTGATTTAGTCTCTCAGAACCGTTCTGTCTGAATTGGCTATCTGCTTTCTGTGTCCAAGAAGGCAGATCACCTACTTTCAGCATTTTGCAGAAGTGTGTGCGAGTAAGCAGGTGACTGCTCTCCCAACATTTCCTTTATTCAATGCACTTTGCTGCAAGCTGAGTGAGCCGAGCTTGCAAGGCTATATACATCTTTTATCATCAGTAGGCCACACAATATTCCAGTCAAAAGCCTGACTTTAGGAGGATGTGGGTGTACCGATGAAGGCTTTTAATAGCAACATTTTATTAAGACAGTAATATTGAAAGGTGGGGCACCAGACAAGTGTTTAAAATCCTGAAAAGCTCATAAAGGAGGCAGCTACAGTAGTTATTTAATTTAACCCTGATTGCAGAACTTGAGGGAAAAATTCAGAATTAGAAGCGATTTGAAAGTTATCTAATTTGGACCTGTAAATAGTGCATTTTTTTCACTCATTGATCTCTTATTTATGAATCACTGTAGAAATCTATGATCTCATTCAATTAGCATTAATTTATAAAATACAGAAGTGGACTTTCAAATTAATATAGAATTATTTTCTCTAAGAACAGTTCTAAGATTTATAGGAAGTTTGCTTCCTGATATTCCCAAATTTGCAACTCTTAATCGCATTTAATTGTTACGTATGTTTTATAGGAAGCCATAAAATGCAAAAATATGCAGTCTTAATGGGATCAGGATGAAATCTTTTCGATTTTATCTGTTGACTATTTTTTCTCTCTTTGTGTCCTCCTCCAAGAATTTCACTCATTTTTCTTTCCTCTGGGGAATGGTTTCATGGGCACTGGGCAATCGCTAGTAGCTGAACCAAAATACCCAGTGTGCATGTATGGCTTGGTAGTGAGTATGGAGCTGGAGAGTGATTGCTGCCCACCCAACATCCATCTATGTGCAGGGACTGTCTACACAAGTGCACCTTCCAACAGGGTCTCTAAGTAGCAGTCAAGACCAGAAACCCTGACTACTTTATATTTTCCTCATTACCCTTAACTTTGTTCCTCTCCTCCCACCTCAGCTCATCTGCCACTTGAACTGAAATGAGCAAACTCAGCAACATCCACCATTACCTGCTGAGGTCAGTTATAACTATTGTTGGTGCCCTTGGAAGCTCCATAAAGCCCAGAGGTTAAGGCTACTACTATCATGCGCTCTACAACAACTTGTTTGGTGTATTCTCGTACAAAATACAGTCACTACACTTTACAGTATATCCTGTGAAGCACTTTGAGACATCCTCCTGACTTGAAAGGTGTTATATCAAATGTAAGGCTTATTATTATTGTTATCATTTAATTAACTGAGTCATGTGGCAAATCACTTTTATTTTAATGTAGAATCTGCATCCATTTGGAGGTGCTGTAACCTTTTGTCCCATTTTCGTAATTTATGGGTGTGTTATAATTATACAACCTCCCTCTAATGTAGATAATTTGCTTTATCAACAGAAACAAAGTAGAATTCAAACTGCGTCTAGTGCAAGTGAGATGACTTTACAAGGTTTTTTAATTACATTTCTGGTAGCCGTGTTTAAACATAATAATAATCCTTATATTTGATGTAGCACATTTCATATCAGGAGGATATCTTAAAGCACTTCACAAGACTTACTGTAAAGTGTAACATCTGTGTTATGTAGGCAAACTTCAAAGCTATATGTTTCTAAATGCTTGAATGGGAAGGAATTGTAAAATTTGGAAAACAATATGTAGTTTTGAACCTAGGTGAAAATGGTTTATTTCGGGATTTACAGGAAGGGAAAACATTCCTGATGAAAAGCATTGAACAGTGGTTGCCTAGTTATCAGAAAGCAGTGACAGAGCAGCAATCTCAAGGTGATGATGACTCCGAACAATTACAGGTAACAAGTTTCATGGTTTTGGTGTATATTGAAATTTGTGTATAGGTGTTTTATTATTCTAATTCTTCTTTGGTGAAATCTGATGTCCTTGAGGTTACATATAATGTCAGCTGGGCTCAGTTGGTAGCACTTGGAGTCCATTCTGATCTAAGGATACCCTGCTCCCACCCCGGAGAATAGTGTCCAGGCAAAAGTTGGTATCCACCACGACCCTGAGGTGTTGATAAGAATGATCAATTGGGAACGATGCTCCTTGTATCTTCCAATCAATATCTTTCCTGGTGTCCAGGTCGACAGTCCTCCGGATGAAAATTGGACATTCACCTCATAGCTGTTTGTGGGATATTGATGTGCACAAACGGTCTTTTGCCCACAAATACACAATCATTACTTCCATCCATGACTACACTAATGCTCTGCTCATCAGCCTCCCCAGCCTTTCTCTACTTAAGCTATCCAGACTATCCAGAAGTCTGTATCCAGTTCCTATGCCAGGCCAGGCTCTGCAAACCAATCACCTCCTTTCTTGCTCAGTTCCACTTGCTCCCCATCCCACATGGAATGAGTTCAAGATCCTCGTTTTGTTTTCAGCAAGTTGAGTGTGCACAATACAATCTTGCTGCGTGCTGACTCGCCAAACGTTTAAGGTCTAAGCATGAATTTATGCAAATATGATCACCTTCAGCTCTACCCGTGGGTCTATTAGCTGATTCTTGAAATTGTGCCAAATAGTGTTAGAAAATCTTGTGCTAAACTAAGTGCTGCCATTGGGATGGTTTGCATTCACATTTGACTCTGAATTCAGCTTTTGTTTTAAAAAAAATTCTGAAGTTTTCAATTCATTCAGTTGTAGCTTTCTGTTGGTGTTTGATTATTGGCTGCAGTTATGCCATTTTTAACTTTTTGTGATCTGCACAGACAGAAAAAGTGCTGCACTTTGTTTGCATAGCTGACGAGTCTAGTTTTCGGGATGGGGCAATTGGATAAGAATGAGCTGATCAGCAAGAATCAGCATGGATTCTGAAAGCCAAGTCATCTCTGACTATGCTAAAGAAGTTATTTGACAGACCACAGAGGTGATCAATAGAAGAGGATCAATGAATGGCATTTAATTGAATTTTCAGAAGCTGTTTGACAAGGTTCCTCATAAGAAATGTGTTAGCTGAAATGAAGGTGCATGGAATTTGAGCCATCCTATTCATGTGGTAGAAAGTTGGGATAATGGGGACGTTCTATGATTGGAGAACATTGATGAATACTGTGCTTCACAATTTTCCTCACAAATTCTCATAATGTTGTTCACTGTGGACCCTGTTCTTTGGGTGGGTCCGGCTGGTTTTTCGCACAATAATGAATGTATGTTCAACAAACAGGAAGTGAGGCTGAGTAAATTTGCAAACTTGGATTTTATTCTATTAGAGCTGAGTAGGTTTAGAGGCATAGATCTGATTGAAGTGTTACAGATAATGAAAGGAATTGTCTAGGCTGTTCTAGGCTTAGGCTAAGCCTAATGCAGAGCAAAAAAAAATTGCAAAAGGTTATGAGAATGTGAAATATACTTTGTGTTTTTCTTTCTCTTTGTTTTAGTATTGCAGTAATGAGGCTATACCCGATGCTTGAATGATGCTGTAAAGTAAGATGTGGTAGTAGTTTAATGTTTTTGGGGGTAATGGCCAGTCCGGACCTTATACAGTAAAACATCTCACACAGTATAATAGAAAACCAGGAATCATTGTTAAAAAGGTTTTCATGCTTGTTTTCTTAGGGAGCCTTTGGAGTATTTGGCTCATTAAGTTGCCCTGATAAAATCTGCTAACCATCTTCTCATTAAAGGAGCCCCTGTTCATGCTTTTTGTTCTTTGGCACTTGGCAATCCTGGAGCAAGGGAACCAAATGAACTGAGTGCTTACCTCAGAGCACTTTTGCCTGACTGCAGCAGACGATGGGTAGAATCAAATGGCTGAATATTTCAGTGCATGTATTTTACATATTCTGCACGTGTCCAATTATATAGACATCTGGTCTACCCCACTGGTTTGGATTTAGAAGTTTGGAGGCAGGGGCCTCTTTGTTCTGCAAACAAAGTTAATTACATCACTCCACCCATGATGCTAATTTTTTGTAACTACCATTTTGTGTATAATATGATGCAAGCTTAGATCCTAAGGCACTCAAATTGTGAATAATGTGACTACAATATATGAAATGTGACATTTTTGCAATTTTTGCACTACATTGCAAATTAGTTCATAATTCCTTACATCTGGCAATCTCTTTTTCGGAGTGAGGGAAAGCGAGAATATGCCGGGAAATCTCTCTCTTTGGTGGACTATTTGAATCAACTTTAATGCGTTGAAGCTGCTGGGCAGCCGTCACACTGCATTTTTGACATTAAAAAGAACTACAGTCAAATTAAAACATTCTCCAAATAAAAGCAACCGACTAAAGCAAGACTCACAGGCACTAATCTCTGTGCTCCTCTGTCCACTCTCCTTTTGCTCTGCTCACGCTGGCCTGCTTCACATCCTCATTGGTGAGTAAGCTACCAGACACCTTGCCTTCAATCTCTGAAGCTCTCCCTAAATCCCTTTGCCTCCCTCGCTACCTGCACCCTTTGTGTTTTTAAACTCGTTTGAAAATCAAATCTCTTTGAACTTGTCTTTGGCCGAATCCTGTCTATTTTCCCCCCAAGTTCAAGTTGGGGGGAGAATTTGGGGGATAATATGATGCAAGCTTAGATCCTAAGGCACTCAGGAAAGCACTCTACTCATTCTACTCTTCTACTCTGGAAAGCACTTTCAGGCGTTTTCTGAGTTCTCTGATGTGAAATGCTTTATTGACTTTTCTGACAAAACAGCGAACCGTATGAAGTAGGTGGACCTGCTAGACTGATGTCCCGAAGTGAGTTCTGCCCTGCCAAATAGCTTACCCTTGCCATATGAGTGGTAACAGTAATGTATATGGCAAATATTTGGGCTCAACCCTATTGTTTGTCCTACAGTTTCTTAAATTATGCATGTTTGAAACATGTCTATGTCTTTCAAATCTCTGGCAGTCCTGGAGCAAGGGCACCGGATGAACTGAGATTGGCAAGGTTTATACATCATGTAATGTATGTATTGGATTAGGACCAGCATTCAGAGCATTGATTTGGTTGTACCTCCACAGTGAAGCCCATTGATAAGAGGGTGGCTGGGGAAACCTGGGTTCTCAATGCTTTTAATCAATATAGGATGAGTGAGTGGCTCAGGTATGCTGTGGGAAGAAAAGCAAAGTATAAACAGTTTCTCTCCCGCACCAGCTCCATGAGTCTATAAACCCAATCGTCAAGATCCTCAGTTTTGTGTTCAAATCCCCCCACAGTCCCGCCCTACCCAATCTCTGCAATCTCCTTCAACCACAGTGACCTGGCTGCTCCCTTTGCTCAGGGTCACCAGAAAATGGCGATTATCCAGTAGTTTAATTATTCTATAAAATATGTGACAAAGATAATTTTTTAACAAGACCCAAATTCCCCAGTCAAATTTCGATAGCCTAAAAAGGGATGGACCTTTGTGCCTTGTTAATTTGTCATAGAAAGCAGGTGCTGGAAAGCTTACTGGGGCATGCACCTGCTTATAACACGCATGTCTTGTGGGTCTGAAGTTACTAGAAATGTAGTACACTTCTGACTTCCGGTGCGGCCTGGCTAGCTCCCAGTGCACCCAAGGAAGCTCACAGTTCACACCAGGAAGCCAGAAGTAGCACCATCAGTGACCTGATGACCCCAAAGTGGTCTTTTTGTGGACTAGTTATACAATTGGTCCAAAGCACTGGGTTATAATGGGTCACAGTCTATGACAAGTTTGCAAATATTGATTCCCTCTTTGGAAAGAGGGATGAACTCAGTGATGTATTGGCATCAAATTTGGATGTCTAGACTTCAGTGTACTGTCTCTGTTGAACCAGTTCAACCCCCACAAATAATATTTTTCCAAAGTCATTTGATTGAAATGCTAGATTAGAGGAATCCAAACATTCTGGTAAATATGTGCCACATTTATTTTCAAACTGTGACCAGTAAATCACACAGCAGACCTAAGTTTTTCAAAGTAATCATAAACCAATTTAAACCCAGGTTAAACTACAGAAACAAAATGCTTCCTAATAAATGGAACGGATATCAGCTTTAAAACCATCTTACTACAGTAATGTACTGTAGCCAGCTGGGACGCATCTAAACATTTGTCATTTTCTATTTTTCAATTTAAAATCAATTCTAGGGCAGAAAAGCTTATTCTCTACCCGTAAAAGAAATCAAATTGTAGAATTGATGCAAACATGTTTGAAGTGGATTGCATAGCGAGGAAGTGAATGGCCAGGTTATCTGGAGGTTTGTTGGCCAGGACACTGGGAGAGACTTCCTTTTTTGAATAATGTCATGGGATTTTTGATGTCCACCTGAACAGGCAGACAGGATCTTGGTTTAACGTTTCATCTAAAGGACGGCACTTTCAACATTGCACTGCTCCCATAGCATTGCACTTGAAGTCAGCCTAGACTTGGTGTTGGTATGAGGGATTGAGTAACCATGCCTCAGCAATCCCTCTTGTCAGACATGTACGCAAATATTACTTTGACAAATTGGTCAGCCAGCACAAGTCTGGAGGGATTGCTTTCTGTTCAAAATATTTTCTTTGGATATAAAATAAAACATTTGTTCAATCTCCCCAAAACAAAAAATACATTGCCTGGTATCTGCTTCCTGTTTCTCCTCTTGCACAAGGCTGCTCTACTGACCTATGTTACAGGGATAGTCAGGCATGTCACAGAGCAAGTGTGTTAGACTTTATTAAGTGCATTGCCCTGGACTGGGAGCCAACTTCGGGCCAGCAGGTTCAATAATGCAGATTTATGGGGAAATACCTGCCTTACCTTAGTGACCTTACTAACTCATCAGGAACTTTTTTAATGTATATATTCTTAAATATGCATACTTTCTTCTTGTGGTTTACAAGATA